GCAATTAGAAAGTCGTCGACTGAATAGCCTGACTGTTTGGTGCTGAATAGTGTGCTTTAGCCGGCGGAGGGTTAAAATGATGCTCGCGTGTCTTCTTCCCCCACTATTCTCTCACTCTTTCTATTATTTTATTTTTTTTTTTTCTTCTTTTTTGTACTTAATCCTTTTTGTCATTCCCTGTTAAGGTTGGTGTACATAAACGGGTGTGCACGCGCGACATCAATATGACCCATTCAGGGGTTGTCGACGAACAATGACTAGCTTTGTCACTGAATGAGAACATTCGTTAATAATAGGGTACGTGTAAGCTCGTGTAGGTGTATACACAACGCTAATGGCATCGTTGAAAAGAACTCTTTTCATTTTTTTTTCTTTCTCTATTTATCATTGTTGTTCATCTTTTCAATATCGGTTTGGTCAATCCATTTATCGATCTTCTGCGCTGACATATAGAAACAAAGGGATATTTAAAGTTTATTTTCAAATATGTATTGTTATAAGTTTATATTTGTCTCAAATAGAAAAAGTTCACAAGAGTATATAGAGCTTAAAAGACGTCAGCATTTGTGCAAAGAATGAATAACAAAACTCCAGTCAATAGATTTTATAAATTAATAACAAAATATAGTGACGCGCTCTTAAAGAAATGAACTAGTTTTTCTTTTTCTTTTAAGAAATCATTTCTAGTTCGATAAAAGCAGTTTAAAAAGAACAAAGAGCAGGTGTTTGCTTTTGAAGCATGAAGTGAATAGAATTCTAGAGCTACTATTGTACATAAAATATATAATTATTCCTGTCGTGGGTGATGGTCCATAACATCCTTATTATAACATTGTATAAAATAATTGCCATGACTATGAGAGAGATACGCGCCAACAATTTGCATTCAAACGACCAACCTACCATAAGAATTCATTACAAGATACTTAAACCATACAGCTGATTTCTCCATTTTTCAAATTAATTACAACTAATTAATTTAATTACCGAATAATAATTTAAATATTAACATAATAAACATGACCTAATTTTGTAAGCCAAAGAAACTCTCGGATAATTAAAAATTCCTTTAAATTGATAACTTACAATCACACAGAGATAGCAATTCTTCAAATATATACGCGATTTATTGAATATATGAATTGAATTACCAGTGATTTATGCATTATGCCAGACTGGACGCTCAACAGACTAATTTTAAATTAACAATGACCGTTCAATGTTACGGACTGGTAAATAATTTAAGACCAAAGAGAGATAACTTCTCTTGGGAAGCAACTATGCCACGACCTGAACAATTGATTCTGACATTAAACCGTAGTCAATACCAACTGTTTTATACTCTTAACACGTATAAAATTATTACTATTATTAAATAACACTATTAAATAAAAAATTACGTATTTACCTATTGTAAAGAAAATGTTACCTATTGTACTCAATAAACATTCATCAAAAGTTTGCTTAAGCGAAAGTCAATACAAACTATTAATTAACATCATTATTTACAACTTATCACTTTGACGTCTTATTACATTACATGTACGTGAGCCAATGATCCATAATTTATTCTCACCAAACTTCTAATTTTTAATTACCTTATTAATATTTATCAATTATTGACATTCCAGCGATGGTGAAATTAAATTGATTAATAACTAAACAGTTAATTAAACATTAATGAGCAAATTAAAAAATTAGAAGCTTCATTAGACAATTTTTAACATTACTCTCAAAAATTATTATTGACAAAAAATTCAAACAAATATTTATTAGAAAGATGTTTCATGTTTCAAAACTTGTTTATAATTTCAATTTTATGATGTTGATATGTTGTTTTCATAACTAACAACATTGTAATTATTGAAATGAAAATTATAAAACGAAAAATAAAAAGTTTATTAATATTGCAATTTTCATTTAATTTTTAAAATGAAAACAAGTATAAAAAAAGTGAAAAAAGTAAACGAAGTGAAAAAAGGAGAAAAAAGTAAACAAAGTGAACCAAATTTGAAAAAAGTAAAAAAAATAAATGAAAACATAGTCAAAAAATAAATAAAAGAGTAAAAAAAAAATTCTAAAATTACGATTCGAATAAAAAAAGAATTCAAGAAAGTTAAAATTAAACGATGCACAATGTTTTAAAAATAAATACATGATTAATAATCGAGTTCGCCGGACTGCTAAATTTATATTGGTACGTATTCAACAGTCCGGAAATGCGTTCAGCTTATTAGGTACATCCAGAGCAGTATTACGTGCATCCGGAGGAGTACGACTGACAATAGAAAAATTACAATGGTTTATTAAAGAAATAGCTTTCAATTTGAAGACGTAAAACAAATTTTTAGTGCATCCGTTATTTTTGTCAAAAATAAAAATATTGACACCAAAATAGACAAAATTATTGACAATAGTATAAAAATTATCGACAATAGAGAAAAATTATCGACAATAGACAAAATTACTGACAATAGTCAAAATTATTGAAAAGAAAATCAGGGTTGCCGCAAAAATTTAACTTTATTTTCCCCTGACTTTTCAATTCAATTAAAATTTTTCAAAAAAATTAATTCTACAGAATTGTTAGTTAAAAATACGAAAAATAATAATTGAATTCTACGAGAATACAAATACAAAAATAAATAATTTATTCAATAATTGAATGTTTCTTAAAATTTAATTTTTACGTAGAATTGTATTAACAATTTTTGGAAATATTTCATTTCTTTTAAGGAATTTAATAAAAATTTTAACGAAATTTATTATATATGAAAGAATTTTATAACAATTTTTGAAAATAATTAAAAACTTTTTGTAGAATTTTATTAAAATGTTTAAAAATAATTGAATTCCTGAGAAGAATTTAATTAATAATTTTTGAAAACAATTGAATTCATGCGAAGAATTTTATTAAATTTTGTTTAAATAATTGAAATTTTTTACAATTTCAATCTTGAGGAGAATTTCGCTATCCAGTTATAAAGATAATTTAATTCTTGACGAGAATTTTTAAAAAATTTGGAAAATATTTTAATCTCTGCTAAGTATTTATTACTTTTCAAAAAAATTGAATTCTTATGATAAATTTGGATATTTATCGAAATAATTGAATTTTGGAAAAGAATTTTATTAAAATTCCTTAGAATAATTGATTTTTTGGGAAGAATTTATACGATTTTGTTGTTTATCAAGATAATTGAATTCTTTTGCAGAATTACTTCAAAAATTTTGAAAATAATTTATTTTCTGCGACGAAATAAATGTTATTTATGAAAATATTTGAATTATGAATTAGTGCAACGAATTTTATTGCTTTATTGAATAATTGAATGTTTCTTAAAATTGAATTCTTTCCTTAAGTTTCAATAAAATTTTTAATTAATAATTGCATTTTTCAAAGAATTTATTTAAAATTGTATTGAAACTATTTAAAATTCTGCCATGAAAATAATTGAATTCCTAAATGAAATTTTATTATTTATGAAAATAATTGAATCTTTTTGTAGAATTGTATTAAAAAGTTTTTTCAATAATTAAAACTGTTGATTAATTCAAAGAATTAAATTTTTTCCAGTAGTTTTAATAAAAATCACTGACTTTTCCCTGATCAATTCTACTTTCCCTGACTTTTCCCTGATTTCCCTTCCCTGTGGCAACCCTAAAAATATAAAAAATTACCAATAAAATAGAAAAAATTGACAATAAAATAGAACGAAAGAATTTTTTCCAGAAAAAAATAATTAGTAGAATTAAATAGATCTCTTTAATTTTCATAAGCTAATCAAATATTCCACCTAGAATTTTGTAACATTTTCTTTACAATTCCCCTCAATAGCACCAATCAATAACGGTAAATAATAATCTCTCTATACAATTCAGTTTCATTCAATAAAGAAATAAACCTATAAAGATTTCTCTACATCTAATCGATCTTAGTTGCGTACATAGGATTTTCTTTTCTTTTTAGAGAAGCGACCTGGATACTAAAAGCAATCGAACAAAAACAAGAAATTGTCTTTAGTGGTTGGAGGAGCATCCATTCAATTCAAATCGAAAAAATAACGTCTTATTCTCTAAAATGAAAATTATTTCACTTTGTCCAAAATGATCATTTATCCAAAAAATCGATAATTAAGTAACAATATTTCCTAAATTACGAATTTCATAAAAAAAGAAATTTACAAATTTCGTACCTATAAATATGAATTCTATTTCGTAAATACAAAATTAGAAGAATCGATCTCGTCGAAGAAAAAAAATTTTTTGCAGATCTCATTGAATCAATGAAATATCGAGTCGCGAATGATAACTGACTTGACTGGATTGGACACAGAGCGAACAACTGATATAAATAGCTGCTACCACTTAGAGTCAATTCAACACCGCAGACTATGAGTTGCATTTACTATAGACGGAAAAAGAGGCATAGAATGAAACTCTCTCAGACAGGAGATTGATAGACAAACATAATAGTGCCCTCGAGACTAACTACGGGACGTGACAGTCTATAGAATCTTTATCCAGTGTGGAAAATATTTAAAACACCTACCCAAGATCTATAGAGCCATTCAGTCATCCTGAATCATTCTAATACGTGCGTTTCAAAGAAAATTATTACCTCTACTCTCTATGAATTTCAACTAAATTATTCGAATTGAAACAGATGTGTTTAAATTTTCCAGTAGAAATGAAAACAAGTTTTTGTTTATAAACACTTAAAAAATTTGAAAATTAAAAAAAATTTCCTGCTGGATAGAAAAATAAAATTTTTCATTTACATAAATTTTGGCATTTGCAGCAAATTTATGTAATATTTTCCGTTGGACGTTTTGTATAATACTAATTTAAAGAGACAAAATAATTCTCTTCAACGGCAAAGCTGCGAACTTGAGTTTGTGGTTTATTTTTAAGATTTGTGTGCGGCATCTTTCTCCTTCGGTATTTTCATTAAGTTTTCAACTGAAATTAGTCTATATGTCATTTTTCATTTGATTTACCTTGCCCGTTGGAGTGATTTTGTTGAGGAGACTGTGGTTGTCCCTGAGTCAATATAATTTGACTTTCAAGCTGCTGTAGTTCTGCTTGAAGCTCACTGAGCTTCGTATTTGCCTTTTTCACAATCATAGCAACATCAGAGAGAGCTTTACGATCAGTCGCCACCTCCCGCAGTTTCTCTGCACCGGCTTTTATTTTTAGTTCCTGTGACAAAAAAAAATTCATCCAGTTAACTAAATTTCTACTTTTTATAGAATATATCCTATCACAAATATTTTTTATTTACATTCTATTTTTTGTTCATATTTATAAACTTTAATTTCCTTATATTCTACATATCCTATTTTTATATTAGAATTAGATTTTTCAGTGCTCGAACAAGTGAAATCGAGTCATCGATTTCTTCATGTTTTATAATAATTAAAGATGAATTTTAAACTAAAATTCTCCTTTAAATCAAATATTTTTAATAATTTTAGAAAAAGTTCTTTGAGAATTTTTAATAATTTTTGAAAAAGTTTTTTGAGAATTTTCAAATTTATTTGTTTACAATTTAAAAAAAAAACCGCAATTAAACTTTCTCGAAAAAATTAATTCCACAGAATTGTTAGTTAAAAAAATGAAAAATTCAGATTTCCAAAAATTTCAAATTCAAACCTTTTCAAAGGTTCAAAATTTGAACTGAAATTAATTTTTAAATCAATTTTTATTAGAAAATTCTACTGGAATTCAATTATTTAAATACAAAAAAAAACAATTTATTGAATAATTGAATGTTTCTTAAAATCCAATTCTAATAAAGAATTTTACCAATAAATTTTTAAATAATTGAATTCTTTTGACGAATTATAATAAAAATTTTAAGAATAATTATATTTTTCGAGAAATTTGATTAAAATTTGATTAAAATTAATTGAAATTCTGCAATGAGTTTTATTATTTATGAAAATAATTGAATTCCTGAGAAATTTTTATTATTTTATGAAAATAATTAAAGGTTTGCATAGAATTTTATTAAATTTTTTTTAAATAATTTAATTATTTGAAAAATTTTATTAAAATAGTAGATATTAAAAATCATTGAATTGAGGAATTTTCGAATAAATTAGCGAAAAAACAGTACCTTTCGTATTTCTCGACGAATATGCTCCCGAAGTTCGTCAAGACGAGCTGGTAAGGGCACTTGGTCACTACCTGCCACTCCATATTTGTGTGAAAGTTCGTAAACAACAGGATGTCTAATATAATCGCCCTGAAATCATTAGAAAAATATATCAGAACTTTATTTTCGATAGAAAATTCATTTTCAACTAAAAAAAGAGAGAAAATGGAAATTATGTAAAAGTATAAAAAATAATAAAACTAATAAATATGAAAAATAAGTATAAAAATATATTGTACAATTATACAAATAAACAGAAAGACGCTTCAGTGTTTATCTTTTTACTCTTTAATAAATCACTATGCGTCTAGATATTTAATCATCCTTTTAACAAGCATGTAACAGACGTACATTTTCTGATAAAATTCATTTATCAGAGTTAATTAGAAAGGTCCGACATTATCAAAAGGAAACGTTATAGTCTTCTTGTATAAATATAGTAATTATATAACTAATATCAAAAATTTCCTTCAAAAAATTTCAACTACATACCACACAAGGTTGAAAATATTTCAAAAAACCTCTAAAAAGCACATTATCCGATTTTTCAACAACCGAAAATCTATTTCTAGAATTAGTCGACGTTCTTTTACGAGAACTCATTTTAAAACCTTAATTATGAAAAATTCGTTTTCCCTGCCCGTCACATTTTATACCAATCCAACAATATTGCACGGAAAATTAAACACTCTGAATTGAAAGAAAATGAAACGGAAAATTGAGAAAATTTCGAGTAATTCAATAATTCAATAATCCAAAAATTCTAAATTCTACAAATTCTAATAAATAAGTTCACTCGAAACACACTCTATAATAATAGTAATAGACGCACTTGTAACACGACAAATGGATTTCACACACGAAGCAAATAAATTAACACACAAGATTCGAAACGAACAAATGTTACCACAGATCTTTTGTCCTTATCTCTTATCAAACAGATAGATAACAGTGATTCTCAACTTTAAAATATTAAATTATATCTGAAAATCTATTCAAGTAAAAAATATATAGATACAAATTTTAAATCCATTTGCCATTTAAATATTCTGATGGTGGAAAATTTACGACTTGATTATAATCAGGAAAAGAAAACAGGATTTTCCTGCTTTGTCTATAAATAATCGTTCATTCACTTAAACTACCAACAATCAGTGACTCAGCTTCATTGCATTACTCTAATCTGTTATTTCACGTTACCTAATGATAACTGTATGAAACATTTGCATAATTATTTTAATAATTTTCGACAAAGTTTCACAAAAACAAGAAAAATATTTTATTTCCCTAAAAAATAATGTATCTTGCTCCGTTTCCTCAAAGGAACATATTTTAATATATTTTACTACGTCCGGATGTGTCAGTTTGCTCTAAATGTACAAATTTAACAAATAAATAAAAGAAAAAAATATTCTTTAAGAAATAAAATATATTTAAAAAAAATCATGTATTCAAATCTAATATCCAATATTAGTCGAAATGATAATTTCCAAAAAGATAAATGAATTCGAAATAAATTTTCACCTCAATACACTGACGAACGAGTTATTTTCACACATTCCGTAATATCTAAATCTGCTATAGATATGTAATGAAAAAGAGAGGTCAACAATCGTTTTGACGATTAAAAATAAATACTCTTGTCTATTTTAGTCGATAATTTCAAAATGAGCGTAAGAAAAAAATATGCAAATTAATTTTTATGCACATTACGTCATTTTTTGTCTCAAGATAGAATCCTATTCAAAGAGTCGAGTTGAATATTTTAAAGAATTTTCATTAAGAACTCAACATACACAGTTTTACTTTTCTAATGTAGAGCCACGTGCAAACACTTGGCCCAGTTTCGCCCTAGTAATACAGCTTAAAGCAAAATTTACCGCAGCAAATTAAATTTACGGAAATATGGATTTAATTTTCTATTTTTGAAATTCCTGAAATCCTGAAATTTAACGATTTGATAATTTTTATTTATCATTAGAATTCCAATTTTTTTTGACGTATTATGCAATATTCTGAAAGTCAAGTCATCTGCAATAAAATGAACTTTCCAATGTTCGGTATACAATTAATCAAAGTAATCTACGATCGAATGAGAGAAAATAAAATTTTATTTACGAATTTCTTTAATTTTGACGGTAGGAAAAAATTCATAAAGCGGTATTTACATTTAAGAATCGCATTTTTCTAAATGTTAGGTACATTATTCGAGAAATTGGAATAGAAGATGAAAACTGTAACTTGTGAGAACTCTTGCTAACGTTAGCGACTTTATTTTTGGGTCACGCACTATACCAGACAAGCATCTGTAAATTACGAAATTCAAAGGCCGGTGGACTCGTAATGTCATTTAAGGCGAAAGAGACTTCGCCCCAAGCGAATAAAAAAAAACGGGAGAAAAACAATCAGTTATTACCAAGTTCAACACCCCTTAAATAAGAAACAAAATTTCTTTTAATCATATCTCTCATTTCTCAAGCATGATCAACGCGTGCACCTGTCTTCCCTTTACTGTTCCATTTTTTAAATTCTCCTCTCAAACATTCAACATTTCAACACTTTACTATTCTATTCTTTATTTCCCCTTACTTAACTCAACGTAACCTAAAAATAGTGAAGCCGTTAGGGAGAAATTATTAAAAGAGACTAATAGCGGTCTAAAGGCTATTGTTAACTCATCCAACCTAATTACTCGTCATCCTCGAATGACTCCAAAAAGCCACTTGTTGTCCTTACCGGGAATCCGCCTGTCAACAAGAGCAGACGGTTTGGACTCCTGGCCCAGAGATAATCAATAAATATGAATCAAAAAATGGGAAATAACAGCTTAGCAACACAATGAACAGGAGAGAGTTAATCTAATCAAGAAAAAAAATTAAGAAAACATAAAGAAAGGTCCGCGACTCACCTGATAATAGCTAGACTCCGCCATCTTGTCCAACACGGTACTCCACCGACTCACTCACCTCATTCACTATAAAACGACAAGGTCCATTGTGTTCACGTGCATATAATTGAAATAATCACAAAAATACACATTGTTATACTATGGACGTTCCAACTTCCGACCGCGAACTACACCTCGCGGATTTTACAACTCCGCAAAGACAATAAGACGCGCCGCTCACGGATTAGAGCACACCACATTCCTCGTTCTCTCTCTAAACGTCTCCCGACACTCCACGAATACCACTCGAATACTCACGACTGCACAGCCAAGAGCGAACAAACTGGGAGATCGTTTTGCTTCAAAAGCAAGACGTGACAATCAACTCCAGCGCCCTGTAAACAAACAAAAATATCTTTCATTCCCTGCAAATTCCCACAATCTAGAATTTTCCAAAAAAATTACAGAAATTATTCCACTCTTTTAATACATAAACTGTTCGTAGATACAGAAAAATTAAGTTTCATTATTCAAATAGGTAACTAAAAGAAAGTACCGAAAAGAAGTTTTAGGTTATGTCTCTCATCCTTTAAATATTTATACTTTTTATCCTTTTCGTTTAGATTTACTTTTCTTTCTATTCAGATTGCCTCAAAACATTTTATTCTACACAATTTAATAAAAAAAATAGTCCCAATGAGAACTTTCTATCACTACAGCACTGGAATTAACTATAGCAACACTTGTCAGCACAACTTGGTTGTTAAAACTAACTATACAGTAAAATTCACATTAAATGTCAATAAAATACAATTTTTACATCTATTAAAAATGCCTCTGATTACTATAAATACAATTAATACCCAAATAATAGCAATATTATTATTAAACTCTTACCGCTAATTTTTTGAGTATAATAAAACTACAAAGCAGGGTTGACAATGTACAGCAACGCGCAAGCAGCGCCTGCGCAAATAACTCATTTCTCTCCACCAATCAAATGCCGGCGCGAAATTTAAAATGTCACAATTTCAAATTCGTCACAATATTCGATTGGTGGACAAAAAGTATTATTATTTATTTTTGTTGTACAAACCCAGCGTGTGCATGTTCAACCCTGAACTCGAGGGCATGCGCAAATAAGCATTTTTTTGTGTACAAAAAAAAGGGAAAAAGTGAGAAATACCGAAAACAGTATTAAAAGTTAAAATGGTTTTTAAGATTTTTAATTGTGAAATGTACTTAGAATTTATTTAAAGAATCATTGATTTGATATTAAATCATTGATTGTTATATTGAATAAGTCAAGTGCTTTATAATAGTTAAAAGAATATTGAAGGAGTCGGTGACGAGTGATCAGAATATTTTTTTTTTTTGAGGTTATTTATAGGTAAATATCATATTTCAATTATGAATTCCTTGAATTAATGATACGATTGCAACCATATTACAATTCTGTTTTTAAACGATCCTTAAATTTCTTCCTTTATTAATTGAAAATTCTATAAAACAAGTCCAGTGCAATTTCTTTTTGTTCCTAAAGTTCAGAACGTTCAAATGAACGAAATTCAATTACTTAAAATTAATATTGCATTAAAATAATTTGGCGTCACGTGCTTGATAAATAATTGTAAAGTTTCTAAAACAGGGTATTCATAGATCAGAGAATTTAGGGAAAAGTCAGGGATTTTTATTTAAAGTACTGGAAAGAATTCAATTTTTAGATTAATTCAATTAAGAAAATTCATAAGAAAATTCTAAAATTTTGGTCTTTTTTGTTTGCCTCATAAATTACCACAAATTCTGATAAAAAACCTTCAATTTTTTCTATTTCTTACAATACTTTCTTTTTAAATATTTTAATTCCTGAAGAACTATCAAAAAATGATTACTTATAAATTATTTAATGAATAATTTCCAAAAGAATTCAATTATTAAAAAAAAAAATTTAATAAAAAATTGATTTAAAATTGAATATCAATTACAATTTTAGATAATAATTTAAATTTGGAAAGGTTTCAAATTGAAATCTTTGAAAATTTGAATTTATCATACTTTTAACTGACAATATTGTTAAAAATAATTGATTTCTTTCGAAGAATTTAAATAAAAATTTTTAAAATAATGCCAATTTTCGAAGAATTTACTTAAAATTGTATTAAAAATAATTGAAATCCTATAAAGAATTATATTATTTAGGAAAATAATTGAATTCTTCCAACAAATTTTTATTAAATTTTTTTAAATAATTGAAATCCCGTGTAGAATATTATTATCTATGAAAATAATTGAATTCTTACAATGAATTTTATTACATTTTTTTTTTTTTTTGAATAATTGAAATCTCGTGTAGAATATTATTATTTATGAAAATAATTGAATTTTTACAACTAATTTTATGACATTTTTTTAAAATAATAAATTGAAATACTCCAAAGAATTTTATTATTTATGAAAAATAATTGAATTCTTGTAACGTATTTAACAAATTTTTTTTTTAATAATTGAATTCTTTTGAGAAATTTTATTGAAATAGTAGATTTTGAAAATATTTGAATTTCATCGAAGCATTTCATTATTTGTGAAATGTAATTGAATTCTTGCAAAAATTTGTTGAACATTATTATTATGACATTATTCGAGGAAGTTATTTGAAATTGTATTAAAAATAATTGAACTATGAAAATAATTGAATTCTTAAAACGAATTTTATTTCATTTTTTTAAATAATTGAATTCATGTGAAAATTTTATTACTTGTAAGAATAATTGAATTCTTGTGAAGGATTTTATTAAAATTTTTGTAAATACTAAAATTTTTTTTTTTAAATTTCATTTTAGTTTCGAATAGCGCAACAAAAATAAATACAGGGACCTTTTAGTTTCCTTATCAGCACGAAAACATAATTTCAAGGACATTTAAGTTTTGATTCCTGCACCAAATCTAAATTATTTTTTCGTTTTTATTTAGTTTTGAAGCCATCCTTTTTGAGTATATAATAAATTTTAGAGTAAATTCGAATATTCTTTAGGGTCAGAGAAAAAGTCAAAATTTTGTCTAGAAATCAGGGAAAAGTCAGGGAAAAACACAATTAAATTTTTATGGCAACCCTGTACAAGTGAATGTAAATATAAATAAAAAAGAAACTGTAAATTGAAATCGAAAAGTAACTGTAAAAATATTTTTTTTCTCTAGGAATAGAAGGATTTCACAACTACCAAGATGCACTTATCAACGAACGAGAGTCGCGAAGACGTGGCCTGTTCAATTAGATCTCTCCTGATGACATATCAACATGGCGTGACGGTTGCAATGCTAGTGAGAGATTATGAAGAAATTGAATGTACCCGAATTCCATTTGATAAATTCAATTGTCCATCCTTACTCGTCTTTCTAAGACAACTCAACAATTACGTGCGGATTGAAAGAAAAGACGGACAAACACTCCTCTATCCCGTGGAATGCGAAAAATCGAAACATATCGCCGAACTGGTAAAACATCAAAGATCAAAGAATCCAAACAGAAGAAGATTCCAGAAGCCGTATCTCAATTTTTGCGCCAACCGACCACAGGTCAGCATCAATCAACATCTCCTAACGCAATTGGTAACCTGTATTAATCTATGTCCACACGGTTTACCTGTTAATCACGCTATCCAATATATAAATCAATACATCCATCCTCTTCAAATTACGAGACCTGAATTGGAACACCAGTTGAAAGCACTGTCTCATTTGATAGCAATTTACGGAGATAATATATATCCAATACATCAGTTTCAAACTTTTGCTCAACAATACATAAACTTCAGTTATGCTTACAATCAAAATAGTCATTGGACTATGAACCGAAATAATAATATTCCACAGATTCCGACCGCCAAACCTAATGCTGAACGAATACCATCACTTTTTGAACCACTTAAATTAGTTGATCAATCTTCGAACAAAATTCCCCTGATTGTGAAAGGTACCAACAACGTTTACAAACCAAATGATAAATTAAAAACTCAAAGTACTGAAGTTACGCAAAATGAACAAACAAAAAGTAATCCTCGCAAAAATGTTCCCGCAAATTTACAAACTAGCGAAATATCAAAAGTCTGTGAGGAAAAAAAGGTTATCAAAACTGACATTCGAGAAAACGAGTCTACGAGTCAAGCAGCAAAGAAGATAGAGAAAGAAGAGGACATAATCGAATCGGACAGGAATATCACAAGATTGACACAAATCAAACTATTGAAACTGATTCATAAATATCCGAACGGAATTTGGTGTTCCGAACTTCAGCTATTGTATCTCCGGGAATATAACACACCATTGACTTTCGAAAAATCTGAATATTCCAGCCTCTTGGACTTTGTTTCGAATTTACCGAATATATTCCATTGCGTGAAACCCTTGAACGAGAAACGTTACAAATTATTTAACGCTAAACATTCTATACCACATTTGAAAGGCGGTACCAGTTATCTAAACGATCTTCCCCTCGAACTAGATCTAGACGATTTTAAAACATCACTACTTAAAGAAGTAATGGGAATCGAAGATACCGTAAAACACACAAGTGTCACGAAATTTCAAGAGAGTAGTAATCAAAAAAAGCAATACGAAGAAATTCTAGTTTCCAATGTTATTTCACCAAGCTTCTTCTGGATTCATTTGTGTAAAAATTCAACGGACTTCAAAAAGTTTGTGAGTGAATTGAAGAATTTCTACGAGAGTAACAATTCAAAGTATAAAGTTCCGCTTACTTTGCTTCAAAGAGGATTGAACGTAGTCTGCTTTTTCAAGGACAGATGGAATCGAGGATTAATCAAGGAGGTTTCTGGCGATTCGCAAATAACAATCTCGTTGTACGATTATGGAATCGAGAAGAAATTCTTTCCGGATGAAATTCACTTTTTACATAAGTCATTCTCGAATTTCCCTGTTCAAGCAATACCGTGTAGTTTGCACAATGTGAAACCATATAAATCATCAATGTGGAAACAAGATGTCATATGGCAATTTGTCTCGAAGACGTCGTTTCCCTTAATTGCTACTGTGGAAAATATTGATCTCGAGGAAAATCAACTTTCTGTTGTTCTAACCGATACGAGGACTGATGAAGATTTTCACATCAACGACTGGTTGTGCAGTGAAAAGTTCGGCGAGCCTGGAAAGTATTCTCTGAAAAATAACAATTTTCCCTTTTCCCATTACAAAGATTGTTTGAAGCAAAAAGGTTATTGTTCACTTTCTCTCCATTATACTAAAAATGAAGAGGATGAAACTGCTCGTGCTGATATTGTTCCTGCGGAAACTATTCCTAACGAATCAGGAAATACGAGGTTAGAAAAATATCCGCAACGTTTAGAGAATTTATTGGCTTCTTTAGTAAAATCGAATATTTCCGAAGACACTTTACCACCATTGAAAAAAATCCCAAGTGTCTCGGACGATAACAGTATTGTTGAGACTTCAGAAAAGTCAAAAAAACATTCGCATCGTTTAGAGAATTTATTGGCTACTCGCGTAAAATCGACTATTTCCGAAGACACTTTACCACCATTGAAAAAAATCCCAAGTGTCTCGGAGGATAACAGTATTACTGAAACTACGAAAACTCCCATTTGCTCCAGATTGTTATTACTTCAAAGACTAAACAAAATAAGCAGTTCAAATTGCAATGTAATTGAGCAAAATGGGAAAAATCATGAAGATAAACCTTCGAGTTCAAAGGACGATTCAAGATCTGTAAGTAATTATTCAAATTCAGTGTCTTCGTTGGACGGATCTTTCAAAGGAAAATCTTCGACAGTGTCTTCGAAAGAATCTACAAAACAACCCGAACTAGAAATCCCTTATTTCGGAACATTCGCCAGTGAATGCGGAGGAAGAGGAAAAATGGAAAAAATAAATTGGCAAGAGGTTTTACAACCAAAAATTACTGTTGAGAAACAACAACAAAAAAGTGAAAACAACAGTTCTGAAAATAACATTCAAAAAAATATTGTGGAGCAACAAGAAGAATTAAAAGTTATCCCTCCGCTAATACAAAGATTACTAAAATTACAAAGTAAACAAAAAAGAACATAAATTCAAATTTTATTTTAATTTTGACAGTAAATTTTTACTTTTCACAATTTTAAAAGATAAACGAACTAAATGCATTAGTTTATTCGAAAACTTCATTTTTATTTAATTTTTAATTTTCGAAATATTGAAATTAAAATTTATTTCTTAAAGTATTTTTTCCGCTTTTTTCCCCGAATGAAAGTTAGTTTTTCAATTTAAAAAATTATTAAAATTTTTAAATTAATAAAAACTAACCCGCACATTTACATAATTTTCTCTTGTTTTTTAAAGAAGAATTTTTATTTTATAATTAAGTTTTCAACGTTCACTGATTCTGAGGGAAAGAATCAACAAATTATTGTTGCTCGTTTTTATTTACTTTTTATCATTTCATCCAAAGATATATTTTTGTTTTAAAGTATATTCCCCTCTAAATTAGTATGTATGAAGAAATTTAATTCAAAAGTAGAATTACTTTTGTCGATTATTCAAAAATTACTTAAATTTATATTTATAAAATTTGGGATGACTAGAGATTAAACATTTCATAGTATATAATTTTTTTACTCAAAAATAAAAATGTTTTTTCAAATTTTATAAATTAGGTTGTAAGTTTATAAAAAAATATGTCTAATAAACAATGACGTCAAATAATTCTTTATTTTAGTTAAACATTTTTCTATAGTTACCAATTTGTGTCCGAGCGTTAAATATACTGAAAGCAATTATTGGATTTGTGATGTTTAATTTCTTTAATTCAAAATATAGTTTCGATTATTTTTATAAGAATCTTATGTTTAATTTAAAATGTAAAAAGAAAACAATTGGTAACAAATTGAATCTTAATTCATGACTTTCGTGTTTTCAGTAAGCGTATAAATTCTTAAGTTTAAAAGAGATAACTATATTTTTATTATTCTCTTAAGTTCATTTAATTCAGATGTATAATTGTTTAAAATTTATTTATACATACTTTCATGTATTTATGAAAATAAAAATCATGTTCCACGATAATAATAATCGCTTGTTTTATTCTTTAAAATTTATATATATTTTTTATTTTTTCTATTCTTAATTATTTATAATTTTTATTATGTACTTAATATTATCAAATTAAAATAATTAAAATTTGAATAATTTAATTATTACCTTAATGGGAGATCAATGTCTTTAGTAATTCATCCGGCGTTCTGGAGAATAAACTATCAGAATTTTGATAAAGATTTTTGGGATCATGGCAGGCTTCGTATAATTGTTTATAAATTGCACTGATTACTTCAAATGAACGTTTTTGAGCGACAGAACGATGCGTTGTACTTTGCAATAAACTGATTTGTGGCAAGAATAAAACATCTGGCATCACAATGAATGCCTCCAATTTATTCTATAATTAAATATTTAAATTAAATAATTATTAATTAATTTAATTATTAATTACTTTAATTATTAATATTTACTAAGAATTAAATAGAAAATACTACCGTAAATTCTTTGACACTCAAAGGATCCATTCCTGGAATTGATGACAAAGGTCCTTGCTGATAACCTTGTAGGATTGTGTATATTGGTCCAAGATTTAAATTAGCCACTAAGGAACTTGCTTGTTCAGATGTTAAAGTATCAATTTGTGCATCAGATTGGGCCTATTGTGAAATATCAAAAGTAATCAGTATACAAAGCAAAGAATAAAACAATTAAAATGAAATTACCTGCAATCTTTCCAATCTTTGATCCATGTATTCGTACAAAGCTAATGTAGATTGAATTTGATGCATACAATTAAGAAGATAAACGGCCATGTCAACTGTCGGTAGTCTCGAAGCAGTTTCATTCACTTCTTGGAGCAGAGGATCAATAATACACGATACAATCTATAAAGAAAATAATTTAAATTCTCAAAATCAATTATTTTTAATAATATTCCGAAAATTCTTAGAGAATTAAATTATTTAAATACAAAAATTCAGTTTTTTTAATAATAATTATAACTGTCCATGTTTTTCAAGTTAGTAATTAATTTTTAAAAGATTATAATAAATTCTTAAAAATAATTTTTCAAAAATATTTTTAAAACAATTTATAAAAGTGATTTCCGAGGCCTGAAAATTTTTTCCTCTTAAGGAACCTTTCGAGTGCCATATAAAATACATATATAATAATATTAATTTAATATTAATGATACTAATAATACTAATTTCTAACAATTAATTAAATTATTCTGCAATACTGACTTGTAACATATCCTTTTCTCTATCCTCGGCAATACTGGCAACCGAAAGAACTTCATTTAATAGGGCCAACAGTCTCGAAACAGAAGGAGCAGGAATTAAATCAGTGCCCGGAGGTTCTGCTCGTTCTCCTAAAGCAACACGAGTCTCTCTTTGTAGCCGGCTGACAAAACTCTTTTCACTTAATTCCATTAGCTCGCCTAGAGTTGTGTCGAGAACGCTTTCGAGAATAACTGGCTTCAAAATGGTTTTATAGTATCTGATAAGTGTCATTACTGTGTACAAAACAGTAGCTGGCGCATCGACCGACACAATATGTTCAATTCTTGATTTCAAAGGATGACACAGACCTTCCGTAATATTGCCTAGGGATTGTGTTACCTGATCTCCTACTACTGTAAAATTTAAAACATTATTTTCAGTAACTTTAAAAAAATATTATTAAAGTAATAGATGCTTATTTAATAAAAATAATAATGTAAAATATTTAACGTTCCTCGATATATATTTTCAAAATTAATAAAACTCTTCCTATATGAGTTTCGGTTGTTTTCTCTTTTTATTCGTTTTATTAATTTTGAAAAAATGATAATTTTATAGTTTAAACAGAAATTAAAAATTTTACCTGTTTTATCACAGACTTTGACAAGATTTAATAAATTTTCTTTTTCGATTGGAATCGCCTGATGGAACCAAGCAAGAATGTCGCCCACATAACGTTTTGGATCGTGTGCATGCATTTCTATAGGATTTGGAGCACCAGCGACATTTTTTCCTAAAGTTAATGCATCTATAAAAGATCCTGCTAGAACTGACCTTCTAGCCGTGCAGTATTCATCCAAAATGTATCTGTAAAATAATAAAATTGTTAAATAATAATAATAAAAATAAAATAATAATAATATTAATAATTATTTAATAATAATAATAATAATAATAATTTTACGAAAATATTATTTTGATATTAAATTTAATAATAAGATGATAGATCAGGGTTGACACAAAAAATTAATTTTGCTATTCCAATCCTTGATTTGCAGACAAAATTTTGATTTTTTCCCTGACCCTAAATAATATTCTGATTCAATCTAAAAACTATTAGATACTCAAAAAATGTTCCTGTTTTCTAATAATTTAGAATTCCGTAAAATTAAAAAAAATTAAATTATTTACAAAAATTTTAATAAAATCTTTCACAACAATTACATTATCTTACAAGTAATAAAATTTTCACATGAATTTAATTATTTAAAAAAATAAATTCGTTACCTATAAGAATTTAAATTATTTTCATAAATAATAAAATTTTTCATACGATTTCAGTTATTTTTAATATAATTTTTAATAAATTACTCGAAAAATGTAATTAGTCAAAAAAATTTTGCAAGAATTTGATTACATTTCACAAATAATTTAATTCTTCGCTGAAATTCAAATATTTTAAAAATCTGCTGTTTTAACAAAATTTCTCAAAAGAATTCAGTTACATTGAAGAAAATGTAACAAAATTTGTAGTAAAAATTCAATTATTTTCCTAAATAATAAAATTCTTCACAGGATTTCAATTATTTAAAAAAAAATGTAATAAAATTCGTTGTAACAATTCAATTATTTTTATAAACAATAAAATTTTTCATAGGATTTCAATTATTTTTAATACAATTTTAAATAAATTACTCGAAAAATGTAATAAGTCAAAAAATTTTTGCAAGAATTCAATTACATTTCACAAATAATGAAATTCTTCGCTGAAATTCAAATATTTTAAAAATCTTCTATTTTAACAAAATTTCTTAAAAGAATTGAATTATTTAAAAAAAATTAAATAAAATTCGTTGTAACAATTCAACTATTTTCCTAAAACATAAAATTCTTCACAGGTTTTCAATTATTTAAAAAAAATTTAATAAAATTCGTTGTAAAAATCTAATTATTTTTATAAATAATAGTATTCTACACACGCTTTCCATTATTAAAAAAAAATAAATTTTACGAAATTTTGATCATTTGGAAATTTTTCAATTAAATATTTAGAAAAAAAACTTGAAATAATTGCAAAAAAATTCAATTAAACTTTTTCAAAAAAAAAAATTAATACTACAGAATTGTCAGTTAAAAGTATGAAAAATTCAAATTTTCAATGATTTTAATTTGTAAACCTTTACCAAATTCAATTATTATCTAAAATATTCACTGAAATTCATTTTTAAATCAATTTTTGTTAAAAAATTGTACTAGAATTTAATTATTTAAATACAAAAATAAATAATTTATTGAGTAATTGGATGTTTCTCAAAATTGAATTCTTATAAAGAACTTAAATAATTGAATTATTTCGGCGAATTTTAATAAAATTTTTATGAATAATTACATTTTTTGAGGAATTCTATTTAAATTGTATTAAAAATAATTGAAATTCTATGATGAGTTTTATTATTCATGAAAATTATTGAAATGAGGAAAATTTTTGAAAATAATTGAATTTCTGCAATCATTTGTAACTTTTCGAAAATTAAATTTTTTTCCAGTACTTTAATAAAAAACCTTGACTTTTCCCTAAATTTCCTGACCTATGGTAACCCTGTAGATAGTGAAGAAAATGTAATATCGATAATACTTACTTAAAAAGAACGGGTCTTTCTTGCAATTTTCCCATTGCTTTGATCAATAAAGGAGCCAAGTGTTCATTTTCAATGTGTCTGCACTGATTTTGAGTCCATCTATACAATCTTTCGAGTGCTGCTTCTTGCAACAGAGTCATTCTTTGCATTATATCAAGTGCCAGTGTTTGATAACCTGACTGCATTAATATTCGACAACTACTATGAATTTCCTGTATATAAAGAATTTTTAAATTAAAATCTTCTTAAACACTTGCATAAAATTTTCCCCAAAATTAAAAAACGCGAAAATTCATTTCCTCGAATTCCAAAATGTCGAGGAAGTATTACTTCGAGTGTCTAAGATACAAAAAGTGAGAATTTGAGGAATTCATTCGAACTTCTAAATTTTAGAGAAATTTTACACATGCGATTTTTAAACAAAAAAAGTCCAGAAATATGTAATTATAATCTCTCACCTGGACTCGATTAACAACCGTAAAAAATTCTTCAGTTATTGGCGATTCTCTAGAAGGTCCATGCAATACTGCCATTTCCGAAGAATTCAACTCAAACGATTTTATAAATGAATTCGCAACATCTTGCTGCATTGATAGTTTCTTACTGAAAAAATAATTTAGTATGAAAATTATTAGATTGAAAACGAGAAAAGTTAATTTACCAGAAAAGGTAACTTAAACTAATTTACAAAAGTAAATTTTACATATTTTTAAATATTAATTAAAAGAAAATAAATCAAACCTTTCATTTTGCAGTTTTGTAGTTTGGTCAATAAGTTGTAAAGTACGAGATTTTGTTGTTTGTAAACGATTGCTCATACTTTGAACAGAATTGTTCATTGCCGAAACATTGTGATACATATCATCGAGAGTGTTTTTAACTTCTTTAAATGCTGATAAAAAATCCTCATTAATAGTGAGACTTCTTTGCTCGATTTTACTTCGAAGATTACGTCTACCATTTAAAGTATTTTCGGTGAAAAATGTCGAAAGTTCTTTCAGGGCTTCAAGTGTTCCCTGTAAATACAAAAAAATACAAGATAATTTAAATAATTCTTTGCTTTTTCAATAATTTTCAATATAGTTTTACAATATAAAGATAAAAATTTTCAAAAATAAAGTTAAGTCCCAAAGAGAGGTTATGTTCTAATCTAACCTTGTCATTTTCAGGGCGTAACTCAAGTAATTTATTCACTCTACGTGATAGAGAAGTACTAGTAGTTTTTTCACTTGTATCAATCATAATAAAAAAATTATAAATATGTTTTTTATATTAAGTGTATTAAAATCAAGAAAATATTATTGTTTGACAGATTTGACACGTTTGACATCTGTCATCGGTCCGAGAGAAAAACATTTCATGTGTATCAGCCCTAATGTTTATACTCTCAACGGATTGGTGGTCTCTACACCAATCACAAATTGGGAATTTTTTTTGTATTTGTATTTTTTGTATTTTTCAGTTGTCACTTTTGCCAGTGCTTGCCAGTTGCCAGTCATAATTTTAAAGGTTTTAATGTCATCTGTGTTTGTTTACGTCGGAATTGTTGATTTTTTAAAAGAGTTTTATGTTTCGTATGAGTCAATGCTAAAGTATATTTTTTAATCTTGTGGATATTTCAGATCACTATTACTGAATAGTGATAAGTTAAATTATTTTATATAAAGAAAATAATATTTGTCCATTATGTCTATAACCTTAAAACAAACTGAAGGAAAAATGACGAAAATGATAAATAGTTTTGTGTTTCTTGATCTGGAAACAACAGATCTGATTAGATATGGAATTATGCCAAGAATAACAGAATTGGCAATGGTGGCAGTTTTAAGGGAACACATTAAAATTCCACAATCAAAGCTGCCACGGGTTTTAGCAAAACTTGTTATACCAATAAACCCGAATGAGAATATTCCGAAAATCGTTACAAAAATCACAGGTAATTTTTTGATTTTTCTATATTTTATCCATTTTATCATTAGTGGAGTATTTTTAAATGAAAAATAAAATGGTAATAAATTTATCTTTTAACATGATTTTTCTTTTGTAGAATTAACAAATCATCATTTAAAAAATATCAAACAGTTTGATTTCAATGTGTGTGGTCAAATAAATCATTTTCTACAACGATTAGAAGAACCTATTTGCTTTGTAGCCCATAATGGAAAAAAATTTGATTATCCGATTCTACTGAATGAATTTCAAAACTATGGAGAGGTATGTTTAAAAATTCTTTAAATAACTTAGAAACTAATTAATTAAAACAAAAATTAAATATACCCTTATTTTACAAGGTGCTGCCTAGTGAAATTTTGGCCGTAGATTCTCTAGACGTTTTTCGACATTATTTCAAAGAAAAATCAATTATACAAGAACAGAAAAAAATGAAAGAAACTTTAGAAACTAACGATAATTGTCATTCATTATTAAAAGACAATTGGGATGATGTAATTGGTTCGGTTCTTGATTCCACAGATACACTCGGCAACTGTGAGGAAATCTCAAAAATAAAAAAAACAGATTCATTTGACAGTAATAAAGATTTACGTTTAAATTTACAGAGGAATAATGATAAGACTCCTGATTTGAAAATTACAAGAGAAGAAACAATGGATTATGCCGAAACTCACAAAATCATTCAAAAGGAACAAATTTTCACAAAACCAGCAAATTTGAAATTAGAAACAATATTCAAAAATATGACTGGCAGCTATATAGAAAATTCCCATTATGCTGAGAGTGATTGTCTTAGTTTAATTCGATGTGCAAATTTAATAGGTGAAGATTTCATCGAATTTGCCGACAATAACGCAAAACTTCTAAACACATACGAAAGGCATATACAATAGCAAATGTATTGTTATTTTCATTTTTGAAGACTCAAATTTATTGTGATTTTATATTTACTTTTTGAAATTTAAAAGAATGAACGTTTAGTTTCTAAAACAATTTTATCAGATACGCTTTAAAACAGCAAAAGAAAAAAAAATTAAATAATTGACGTTTTTGCAATTTCTTTTTTATGAAAAAGAGAAAGAGTAAAATAGTAAAAATTACTTGTTGTCATTCAAATGAAATTAATATCTATTGACGATAATATATTTTTTATAAAAATAAATTTTTAATATATTCAAGTACTCTTTTCATTAGAAGAGAGTAAATAATATATAATTGAATTCGGCAAGTGATAAAATTTAAATTGAATACTGTTTATTAAATCAGTCTGAGTGTGTTTGTTAAACTTATTCGCTAAGAATAATAAAAGAAAAGAAAAAAATTGTTAGTCATGAAAATATCATCGTTTTCTGTGTTCGTCTATTATTCTAAAAATGTGTATTTCAAAGGAAATATATATTTTTATATATTTTAATACTATTTTCAATTATTTATTTATGAAATGTGAATCAAAAAATTATGTTTAAAAAAAATTGGACGGAAAACGGATAAGCGATGGTTGTTATTAATGCAAATAATTGTCGCATGTTGATATTTTTGCGAATGTCTTATTTTTTTATTATTAAAAATTGTATGTAGTTATATGTAAAAAGAAATATAAAATAGATAGCAAGATTTCATGTTCATAGAATGCATTTGCAATAATAAACGAACTATAAACATTATTGTTTCTTTTTTAATTTTAAAAAGAATAGGTACAAAAATATAACTATATTTGTACAAGACACAAAAAATGAATTAAAAATTAATAAAAGATAAAAATAAAAATATTCCTTACTTCTTTCAATTTCTGATTTATAATTTCGCTTGCAGTTCACTTACTTTTTCAGATAAAATTTTCATATTTGTATTTATATTTTTTAATTCCTCTTTTAATTCAGAGAACATTTCATTCATTTTTTTAGCTTCACTTGAAATAAGATTGTAAAGTAAATGGAACTGTTCATTTTCAATCGAACTTTTTGTTTCCTTGTCAACTTTTTTAGTTTGTTTAACAATTGTTTCTTTTTCTGCATATGAAACATATAATAGTTATTAAGAAAGGATACAATGACTTGCCTCTAGTTTTTCTGAAATTCAATATCAAAATTTATAGATAATTTCATTCTAATTTAGTATTTAGTAGTAAGTTGTACTAAAAGAAATTAATGTTTTCGTACCTGTAATTTCTTTCAAGTCCCTGGAATTGGCATTTGATTTTAAGTATACACTTTTCAAATCATTTAACTCAACCGTAGTTACTGAAATATTATCACACAGACTTAATAATATTAAAATAAATAAACTAAATAATAAATAATTTGTGACGCGCTCGGAAAAAAGTGCCTAACAAGCAAATCACTTTAATGTTATATTTATATTATTTTTACCTTAAATAAAAGTTTCTTTTTAAATACCTATCTATCTTTAAAATCAGTTTTCATTGATTATTTTGGATATAAAGAAGATTTTAAAGTCAATAATTTATAATAGTAATTAATTCTCTTTCTGTATTTTTACTCCAAAAACGACAAACAACCTAAAATTTTTTGAGGATTTTTCTTATAGTAGCACGTCACATATTTAATATTTAATAACATTTTGAAAAGAACAAATAAGTTGTAAAGATATTGTATTAAAAATACTCACAAATATATTTTGCAATGATGAATGGATCCGTGGAAATGTTTTGATTGATTTTTGATATAATTTGTGCAAATCTATCAGCATGATTTTTCATTTCTATTGGAGAAATTTTATACAATAAATTAAAATCTTTATTGTAATAAAATGGAATCTTATGATTTTTTGCAGCCTCACACAATTTTTCCAGCATCTGAAAAATTGTTACCATAAATACTGTGATGAAAAAATTATTCTTACTTATTTTGATTGAAATTATAATTTTAATACTTACGTGCATAAAAATGCACGTTATCGGCAATTTCATAAAATTTGGATCATTCTCCTTCGCTCTTATTTCATTCAAACCAATTGTTTCGATGAAATAACTTGAAAAGTTTTTCATATTTTGCGTATTTCTGAGTTTCTGTAAAATCAAAAACAAGCAACATGAACAACAAAATATTCAAACATTTATATATATTTACTTAAATACAAATATCTTACTTTTAATAATCTAATCACGGTTTTCATGGGTCCTTTCAAAATTTCTTTTTCTTCTCTATAAAAACTAACTCTCCACATTAAATTTCCATTCTCTTCATTTAGTGGCTTTGGAATAATTGACCATTTGCATTGATTTTTAAATCCCTTGTAACGTTTTGGTGGAGGAGTAGAAAACTCTACTGATGGAACTAAATCCACATCAATTTCCTTTTGTGCTGGATCTTTTATAGCAAACGTGAAGGCTGGACCACTTTTAGTCACAGAAATCTAAAAAAAAGTAAATTTTAAAATTTGTATTTACACTACTGTTATATTTCATTTAATTTATTTCCTCTTAAAATCTAAATAAATTACGTATAATCTGCTTTCAATGAATGTTAACTCACGCTGTATCTTTTGTTATTAACTGTAAGTATTTTTCCATTTTTGCGAAAAGAAGGATCGTCTGGTAAAGTTTGCAAGCTTTTAGATAAAATTGATTCAATTAATTCACGGAATTTATTTTGATCCAGATAATTATTTGGACTAATTAACGTGTCCAAACGTTTTCTGAAAATAAAAAAAGTTAAGTAAATAAGATTATTTTGATTTTTATATAGTAAAAATAAAAATTTTAATATTTTACTGAAATGTATCCCAAGTCTGCAATTTACTGTCTTTTGTAAATTGTATTTTAATAAAGCCTGGCATCTTTTCTGGTGTTTCAAACTAAAAAAGAAATTAAAAAAAATTAACCAAAAATGAAAAATTACGGACCAATTACTGATAAAAATTTAACCAGTCCAAGTCAAATAAGAAAACATTTTATTAAAAACTATAAATTAAAATTTTTCATAACTATAAAACATGAAGATATCGATTAAAATTTTGTCGAGAATTTTAAAAATTTTTTGACCATAATTGAATTTTTGCGAAGAATTTTATTATTTTGAAAATAATTGACGAATTTTTTGTCCTTTTTCAATAAAATTACGGACTTTACGGACCTTTTTTTAAAAAAAACTAACTTTTACGGACTTGAAGAAAATTTGCGGACTTTAACGAAATTTACGGATCTAGTTCGAAAATAGAGTTAAAAATTGTTTCTATTTATAATAAAAGGAAAATATATTTTACTCGTTGTCACTTTGAACTTGTTTTCCGTCAGGTAAAGTAAATATATATTTTATTTAACTTTAATAATTTATAGTAAAATATATTTTATTTAACTTTAATAATTTATAGTAAAATATATTTTATTTATAAAAATATATTTTAATTGAATATATTCGAAAAAATATTTTAAAAAAAAAACATTACCTTCAGAGTGCTTTCCACCCACGGTAAAAGCATAATCATATTCAAATCATACTCGTCTGGTTTTTCCACTTTCGTTCCCTTATAATAGGAGCCTCCATACATTATTGAATTATATAATTTTGCAAACAATGGATCACATTGTTTCATTAAAGGTATTATACCATCTTTAATCACCTGTAATTATAAACATTTTTATAAATACACTTTTTTCATTAATAAACCGCCGGTTTCTACGAACCGGCACCTCATATTTATAATATTTAGAATTAACAAAAAAATTACCGTGTCTAAATGAGCGTTACTCAATATAGTGTCATTTTTTCTTAAAGTGACAAAATTATTTATTGCATTCAGAATTTCATCATTAGAGAATTTACCATCTTCTTTATACTGGTAACCGGTTTTGTTTAACGCTGAAGCCATTTTCTTTAAAAAAAGAAACAATAAACAAACGAGTAAAAAATTAGTTTTAATTAATTTTGATAAATTTTTTACTATCATATTTTTAAACAATATGAATGTAAAATGTAAATTTATAAAATCACAAATTTTTGAAATAATGAATAATATCAAACTCACTGCGAAGAAGAGAAAATTCTTCTCCAAGCCGGTGAATAAGTTGAAACTGTTGAAAGCTACTGAAAGTTAAGCTACTCCAGACTGTAGTTTATCTTCAAAGTTTTGGGAGGAAATATATATTGTATATTTAAAGTCACATGCAATATACATTCCTACTTTGCGTGGCTATAAATAGATTTAACTCCTCACTTGCAAAGAAATTCTTTGTTTTCATGTAAAAAAAGACTATTTAAAAAAATACTGTTTAGAAAAATACTTCACAATATTATGTAACTTTATCTTAATGTTCTTCGAAATCTGAAATAAACATCAGTTGTATAATTCAAAAGAAATCCCACTAAAAATAGATTCTGAAAGATCTAAAGTATTTTTACGTTTATTTCTCTTTTTCTTCTCCCCTTCTCTAATCGCATTTAGTCCCCGTCTGCTTTTTTTCATTTAAAAGTCCCATTCATACGTACTATAGCATGGTTTCATTTCTTACTTTAGAAAATTTCAAAATGCTAGGAAAAAAATTATATAAATAATTAAATAAAATTGCACAAGTCGAACAAAAGTGTTTGAATAATATTTTACTGTCAAAAATGTAATTCAATATTCTCCGAATCCGAATTTGTCTATAAAGAAACAAAACAATATCCACTTTAAATTAATTTATACCCTATTAACCGAATTATAATTTTCAGACTTCGAAGAAGTACATGTGGATTAAATTCACAAAACTTAACGCTAACTATAAAAAAAGAATATACAAAATTGATCACGAATTATTGAATTAAGAAGCGCGTTGATCACAAATTTTCAAAAAAGTTTGTCGTAATCTTTCAAAACTTTCTTGGCTAATTTCATTTTTACAATTTGAGAGATCATCCAACTGATCGCATAGGCTTTCAATTTTTTTATTCACATTGAAATCAGTATTAGCAGAAGAGGCTAATATTCCAGGAGAATCATCCAATTTTGGAAATTTATCTTCTCTTTCATTTATCTCGTAGCAAGTGTGTTGCTGTAAAATTTTTCGAGAGCCTCCCACTAACTGACGGAAATAAGCTTCAGTATTCGAGAAACCAGACAATTTGTAATATGATGTTCTTGAAATGTAAGCTGATAAACTTTCCGATAATGCTGTCTTATCAATTATTATATTTAGCACACTTCCAACGAGATTTTCATTCGGACTTGATCGTGTAAAATCATTGAAATACTCAAAGGCTTCTTGACGGACCCAAGGAGTCTCGTCTTGCAAAAGTTGAACGTAAAGTTCAGCAATTGGAACCGATAAACGAGACATGTTATCTGTCGTATGGATTAATACATTTTTCAGCCAATTGAGCAATTGTATTCGTATATATGGAGGTGCATACGGTAGCAAGGTTGTCATTAATTTCAAAATCTGTCAGGCAAATTAATTGAAATTAATATTTTATAACTATTATAAAATATTATATTATATTATAAGTTTTAAATAAATACCGAAGATACAGTTCCGTCCTTAAAACTTTCATTGCCCGGAATATGACAATGAAAAAGAGCCGTCATCAACTCTGAAATAAGAATTAAATCAATTCCTTCACAGAATTCAATCACTTCGACTATGGAATTCCAAATATTAGAAAGAGTATTCATAATTTGTTTATCTTGCTCGTGGGAATAAATTTCAGTCATCTTTAACAATGAAATCTAAAAATATAAAATAAAAATATATTAGTGAAAATTAAGTTATTAAAATATTAAAATTCTAATATTTTTCTAGAACATATTAAAATTAAATAATTAAAATTCTAATATCAAATTTATAATATTAAAATTAAAATATTAAAATTAGAATTTAAAATAAAAATATTTAGACATAGGATTAACATACGAAATACGTCCACGATTTTATGGAAGGTTTTTGTTTAAGGAGTTGAAAATTTTTCGATATGTCATTCCCAGTCTCTCCTGCTTTTCTCTTAACAATGCTTTTCCCTTTGGGGGTCAACACTTGAGAAAGAACAATCCAAAAATCATTGCCAGAATCATCTAATTTTTCAACGAAAAAATCTTTTTTGTTTTCCGATAAAGTTCGATAAATTCGTCTAATTAAGAAAGAAAGAAAGACTACTTCCAAACTGTTTTCTCGTTCTGATAATCTTTCATAAACTTTCAGTAAATATTTCAAATGATCGTAACACAATTGCGTCGAAGCACATCTGCACAGAAAAGTGTGAATTTCATTATTAAATTATTAAATATCACATTAAAGTATTTTAAATTTACATTTACGTTTAAAGATGATAAAAAGCTTAAAATCAGAAATATTGCAAAAAATAAACTTCACCTGCTAATTATGCACCACACATCAACTGTTAATAGGGAACTCCAATAATTTCCACTCATCAAGTATTTTACTAATAAATTTTCAATTCTTCCAAAATCAGAAGGCGTTACTTGACAAATTAAGCCCCAACACATTGTGAATGTCTCCTCATAAATTGTCAATGTTTTTGGACTTTCTCCAAGATTTCGAGTTACTTCTACTTGTAATTTTCCCAAACAAATTTCTAATTGCACTTTTTGTATGAAAAAAATTAATAAATAATTTAAAGATTAATTAATATCATTTCATTAGATAATTGATATTCGACAATAGATTAACAATAATTTTATACTTACAAAGATCAATATTTGTAAAAGCAACATCGAGAATAGAAGGCTCGTCAAGTACCCATTTTCGTTGAATATCGTAGGGCGATTTTATTAATTTTCTCATTATATTTAAAGTTAACAAATGATATCCAACGACTTCAGTGTCATCTCCTCTTTCGAATTCGAAAAATGCCTGCAAATATAAAAGATAACTTTGGTCAAATAAATAATAAATAACAATAAATAAAATAAATGACAATAAATACATAAGGCGCAATAAAAAATATTGCGAAGATTCAATATTTCATACCTTAAACACATGTTCATCATTAAAGACAAAATTTAATAAAGTATCCAAATCGGTTGTAATATTCATTTTGATAAATTTAACAATAGAAGAATCAACATTCATTGCAATCAGGCAAGGCGAAGAATATCTGTACATTTGAACCAGTAATTTAACGATGGAATTTGCAACTTCATCAGTAACTGACAAATAATAAATATTCCACAATTTATTTAGAATTTTCAACAGAATTTTGCCACAAGAAATTCTATTTTCATTTACTTTTTGCTGATTATCCTGAAAAGAAATTTTTTCATTTATTTATTTATGCAAATTCGAAATTCTAACAATAAAAAATAATTAAAAAATAAATTAAAACTATGAAAAAATAAGGGACTAACTCTGTCTCGGACTAACTCTTTTTTCGTTGAAAAATTCTGGGAAAATTCAAAATAAATATAATTATTGTATAAATTGTATATAGTAATATAAATAATAATTATTGTAGATTAAGAAAAATAATTACGTTCACAGATGAAAATATTAGGGAAACAATATTTTCAGCTAAAGATTTAAAATGTTGTGTGATTCGTTCTGGATATTTCAAATTTATTTTCTCGCCGTGGATTGTTGCCAATTTTCCAAATTGTTTCCAAATTCCAGTTATAGTTTTCAGATCTAATCGATTTACCATTACAGAAGTATCACCAATTTCATTTATGACTATTGACGATAGAGCACATGAAAATAAAAAGTGTATTTTTGAAAATTGAAATTGTAGATAAAAGCTTTTTAATGTTAAAAATATAATTAATTGAAAAATGCAATTAATTGAAATATATAATTAATTGAAGAACACAATTAATAGAAAAATATAATTAATGAAACAATACAATTAATTGAAAAATAGAATTAATTAAAAAATATAATTGACTAAAGTTAACAATAATTATTACTTGTGCTCAAAATATTTAATTCCGATTCCTCTTCGACATTAAAATTAATAACAGTGTCGGAAACGCTGAGAAAGGAATTCAAAATTTCGTTAGATTTTTGAAAAATAATAGCAATTTCTTCACTAAAATTGGTGAAAGCCTCTCCATATTTCATTTCACTGAAAAGAAATAATATTTTTTAATTTAATATATTTACATTTATATTCTAAAAAAAATTATTGATTTTTTTTTATTATTTGTAAAAAAGAATCAAGTTCATTACCTCATTTCACAGAAGCTCAAAGCACTTTTTACGACGTTAAACAAAATATTAGGAAATGATTTTATTTGTGTTATGGAAACATTCTTCAAAGTTTTCAAGTGCTTCATACATTTTTGCCAACACTCCAAAAGATCAGTGCAAGTCTTCAATTTGGCTTTAATGTCACTTTCATTTCTTCGTTTGCCTAACAATTTTTTATCAATCTCTGTAATTAGCTGTAAATTATTAATTAATAAACTAATTAAATTAACCGTAAATTAACTGTAAATTATTAATTTAACCAAATTAACTGTAAGTTATTAAATAAATTAAATTAACTGCAAACTATTAAATTACCTAACTAAGTGAACTGTAAATTTTTATGTTCGTATAGTTTCAAACGTTCAATAGAACGAAAATACTTTTTTACTTTTTTTAATTTGTATTCTTCTATTAAAAAAATTATTTTGTACAGTAAAACAAATTTTTATCTAAGTAAATATTTAATTCAAATTATTTTTTCTTTTTATATAGGAATTTTGAAAAATATTTGAATAGAAAAGAAATTTTATTCAGTTGGACGTTCAAAATTTTGGAAAAATATTATATAAATTAAATTAAATTTTCAATGAATCATAATATATTTAATAAATAAATAAGAAATAGAAAAATAAAATAAGAAATAACCATTTTTTTGAAAAATTATGTAAGAAAAAAATAGTTACCTGAACGAATGTTTTACTAGCATCTGTAAGATAGGTTGAAAATATTCTTCTATCAAGATCATTAACTTCACAAGTCGCTAGTTTTTCATCTAATATTGTGTGCAATTTTTCCGCAATTTCCGTTTCATCTAAAGTTTCTAAATCTTCGTACACAAAATGTTAAGAAATATTCCATTGAAAATTTACACTTATTTTGAATAACATAAAACCAAAGTTAATATTATGCGTGAATGTAAATATTAATATGAAGAAGATTCCATTTTTAAATCGAATGTCTTCATTTTATTATTTATTATTCACTTTCTTTTCTAAAATCTAATCAAGAAGATTAAAATTGATTTCATTTAAAATCTTATAGAAGGATATTTTGACTTCTGAATCCGACATGTCCATTAATTCCGACCAGTCTTCCATTTCATCCTCCATCAGATCCTTGACTTCGGAATTTGATTTTCCATTTCCTTGCGACATTTTCGTTTATCTAAAATAAAAAAATAAAAATCGTTCGATTAATATTTATGAGTATTTACCAAATTCTAAATTCTAGGCAAAGAACAAAAAATTTTTTGTCCGTCAAAATTGAAGAAACAAATAAATTCGAAATACAACTTTTATCGACAGAATACAATTATTATTTAAATTCAATTATTTTCAAGAGTTTTAATAAAAATTCAATTATATTTAACAATTCTGATAAAATTCTTGGAAACAATTAAAAAAAAAATTCTTTGCAAAAATTCAATTATTCTTGCAAATAATAAAATTCTTCGGAGAAATTCAATTATTTTTAATACAATTTTAATAAAATTTCTTTGAAAAAATTCAATTATATTCAAGATAATTTTTATAAAATTTCTCTAACAGGTTCAATTATTTTTAAAAATTGTAATAAAATTTTTCTAAACAATTCAATTGTTCTCAAAAGTTTTTAATAAAATTCTTGGTAAAATTCTATTATTTTCAAAATGTTCAATTAAATTTACTTTAAAAAATTACATTTTTTACGAAATTTAATGAAATTCTTATAAAAAATGTAATTATTCACAAAAACTCTAATACAATTAAAAAAAAATTAAAGAGTTAAAAAGAATTTAATTTTCTATAAATACCTAATGTTAATATAATTTAATAGGAAAATCGTTAATTACAATTAATAATAAACGCGATTATTTTAATAACTTAAATGAAAATCTTCATAAAATTCAATTATTTTCAAAATTTTCAGTAAAAATTATTAAAAAAAACTCCATTATTTTCAAGAAAGTTAAAATAAATTCTTCAAAACAATTCAATTATTTTCAAATTTTTTTATAAATACTTTACAAGAATTAAATGATTTTCAGTACATTGACAATTTAATTGTTTCTGAAAATAATTGAATTCTTAAATAATTATAAATTATTATTTTAATAATTTATTAAAACTTTTCTAAATAATTCAATTCCTGTGAAAAATTTACTATATTTATTGATATAATTGAATTCTTAAGAAGAATTTAAAAATAATTTAATTGTCCCTGAAATGCAATTAAAATTGTATTTAAAATAAATAAATAATTGAATTCAATGATTTTCAGTACATTAATTTAAAAATTTTAATCATTTAAGAAGAAAAATTATTTAAAAAATTAGGAAACAAACTGCGAACAGATTACCGGAATACGATTATTAATATAGATTTTTTTGTAAACCGAATTTCTTTACTATATTTTTTTCATAAATCCTAATTCTCTACAATAATTTTTCGTGCCATTCAACCATCGTTATTTTCGAACAAGAACCTTAAAAAAGTTTTGAAAAGAATCATCGTCCTTAAATTGTTGGATTCATTTGATCGGTTGTCAGGACATACAATTCCATAAATCTTTGCCAAAAAACCTAGTTCCATCAGATAAAACAGTGGAAATTGAGGCAGTTACCAATCTAGAAGACTAATATCGTCCCTCCAGTTGGGCCGAGTCATGTGTTAAAGTTGGCCAAGTTAAAAGTTTTCCATTTAAAGTTTTTGGAGGTGTGCTGGGCAGCGATTTGAATGATCGGCGTTGCCGATGCCATGGTAACTCCGGACAACAAGCTGTCAGATGATAGGCAAAGTTTTGATCAATAACAGGTGACTATACCTGAGAGAAAGAGAGAGAGAGAGAGAGAGAGTTGAGTTCGAGGTACCGATGTGGTAAATTGTCCTAGTAGTGGAGTATTGCTGAGAAAAGCTTATTCACGGCAAATTCACCCTGTATTGGTGAAGGCTTTCAAAGTAGTTGTAAATATAGTGGATAATAGAGGGTTTGTAGGCGAAGTAGAAGAAAAGTGGCCCTAGGGGTGGAAACGACTATAAACTGGTACCCGCGTGCTGCTAGCACGATGGTAGTGGCAGTGCTTAAAGAAGAGGGCAATGGATGTTATTTCGTCAGCAGGAATTCCAATTCAGTCAGTCGGCGTTCGCCAGTCACGCCGGCTCATTTTCATTGTCTATATCTATAAAAATTCATTCACCGGCATATCTCTACTTTGCAATTCATTACGTCCAATCTTTTTTCAAACCCGCAAAATTAGGTGAGAATTTTTAATTCTTTTCACCATTTTGACATTTTTTTCACAAATTTTAATCTTTTCTTTTTTTTAATCTTTTCTCTAATTTTCATTTATCAGTCCTGAAAAATGTTTAACTTTTCAATTAAACATTTTTTTGAAAATAGCGATAATAAAAATGAATAAATAAAACAGCATTATTTTCAAAAGATTGACTTTTGACAATTAAGTCCTCGAACTAATAAATTAAATTGTACATTTAATATTTTTACACAATAAAGTAAATTTGAAAGAAAACTAGTTTTCGTGACTGCTCTCGGGGTCGACGAATTCACCCCATTAGTGAGTGCCAACTGAGTCATACGAACTTTCTCCATTCTCAGAAAACTTTATACACAAGGCGTTTTCAAGTTTATCATATACACCGAGTGTTCAAAGAACAATTAAAGAGATTCTTTAACTGCAAGTAATTTAACATTTTCGCAGTCTTTTTTTAAAAGAGAAAATATATATACAAAAGTTAGAGAAGTTTTAGAATAAAGTTAATTTCGTTTTCGGAAAATATTCAAGTTTAAAAAGAAGGGGATTGCCAAAAAAATTTAATTTTCTTTTTCCCTGATTTTCAGAGAAAATTTTCACTTTTTCCCTTACCCTAAAAAATATTATGATTCACTCTAAAAAAGATTAGATACTTAAAAAAATGTTTTATTACATTTATTTACGAATTTCTTTAATTGCAAAATTATTCAAAAACATCAATAATTTTAATTCAAATAAATATTTAATCATTATTATTTTTTCAATAGGAAAAAAGATTTTCAAAAATTTTAAATTCAAACCATTTTGAAATTCAACATTTTATAACCAAAATTCTTCTTTAAATCAATTATATTTAATAATTTTTGAAAAAGTTCTTTGAGAATCTTCAAATACATTAATTTGTTTACAATTCAATTTTACGAAATTTTGATTATTCGGAAATTCTTCAATTGAATATATATTGGAAAATAAATACTTCAAATAATTAAACAAAAATTCAATAAAACTTTTTAAAAAATTAATTCTACACAAGTGTTAGTTAAAAGAATAAAAAATCCAGTTTTTCAAAGATTTTAATTTAAAACCTTTTCAAAATTCAATTATTTAAAAATTCATGGTATAAATCAATTTTTACTAGAAAATTCAATGAGAATTCAATTATTTAAATACAAAAATAAATAATTTTTTAAATAATCAAATGTTTCTTAAAACTGAATCCTGATAAAAAACTTTATCAAAAAATTTTTAAATGTTTGTATTCTTTTGGCGGATTTTAATAAAATGTTTAAGAATAATTTCATTTCACAAGGAATTCGATTAAAATTGTACTAAAAGTAATTGAAATTCTGCTATGAGTTTTATTATTTATGAAAAAATTGAATTATTGCGAAGGAATTTATAAAAAATTTGTAAATAATATAATTCCTGTGAAATTTTTATTATTTATGATATTTTAATTAAATGTTTGCGTAGAATTTAAAAAAAAATTTTGAAAATAATTAAAATCTTTTGGAATAAAATCATTTAATTGAGGAAAATTAGTGAAAATAATTTAATTTTGGAAAAGAATTTTATTACTTTTGAAAATAATTGAAATTTTTAACTAGAATTTTTAAAAATTTTGTTGAACATAATTTAATAAATTTCTGTGAAAAATTGTATTACTTTTGAAAATAATAGAATTTCTGTAATCACTTGTAACTTCTCCAAAAATTCAATTTTTTCAGTGTTTTTAACTAAAATTCTTCTACAAATTCATTCATTTTTAATAATTAATTAAATATATATTAAAAAATTTAACTGATTTCAGAAGAATTTGAATTATTAAAATTTTTCAAAAATTCAAGTTCTTTTAAATTTCCAATTATATTAAATTCATTCAACATTGAAATTTTATAAAATATCAAATTCTAATTTGATATCCTTTTGAAGTTCATCTATTTATGTTAACTGTAAACTTAATTTTTTTATAATTCAATTAATTTCGAAATATTTAAGTGAAATTATTCACTAAATAATTAATAAGTAATAATTTTCTAATAGTTCTTTAATAATTAAGTTATTTAAAAAGAAATTATTGTCAGAAATTGAATGTTTTGTATTAGAATTTGTGGTAATTTCATAATTTATAAGTTAAACATAAAAGATACCAAAATTCAGAATCAGTCAGAATTTTCTTAAGAATTCTAAAAATTTAAGTTTTTATAGTTCTTGTAATAAAAATCCCTGATTTCCCTAACTAATTCTACATTCTCTGAATTTCTTGACCATTTGCAACCCTGAAGAAAGAGAGAAATACAAAATTGTTTTTTGTCAAACGGAAAATGTTCTGCCATCGTCTAACAAATGATTGACAAGATAACAAGAAGTTAAATAAAAAAATGTTTTCTATTAAACATTTTTCAGGACAATTAAAATTACCAATTTTCACAAGAATTAAAATTTTTCTCAGGATGTAGCCTTTTTGGGGGAAAGAAATAGAATTCTGAAGAATGTCTGCACAGAGAAGACCCTCGGGTCCCATTAGACAACTGTCACTTCAACAGCATCCTCGTCGTCAACAAGTCCGACGGCAGAGATCAGCCGACGATGAGAAGCCACTTCAAATCTATTCAAATCCAATTCGAACCAGATTTTGCGGAAGTCCAAAACCAGAGAATGATCGTCCAAAAATTCGCATTGCTTGGGGTGAGCAAAGATCGAAATCCACTGAGAATCAAGTTGAAATAGTCGCTCGTCAAATTCCAGGCAAGTCCCGGCCACCGACAGCCAGAAATTTAAAGATCACCCGACCTCTAATCACCGAGAAGGCGACGATTCTCTATTCTCGTCAGGAACTCGCCGAAAGATTGCGTCTCGCCTGGAAACAAAGAGAAGCAAATAAATCAAATATAGACATTTTTCTCGCTCACAATACAGTTGAGGAGCGCTGTGATTCTCAACTTTCAAACGTCACCACCACACCATCCACTCCCCTTTCAAAGCAAATTCTCCAAAAAGAAAATACAAATTCAATTGCCGACACTTATGAAATCAAATCAACACCAAGACAAGTCGATGAAGAAATACAGTCAAATGAAACTGAACTCGAAATTCAAAATGATGAGAAAGAGGAAGACGAAGAGACAAGTGATCAACGAATGGAAGACGAAGATCAAATAATAAGTTATGGAAAATCTTGCTTTAAATTCAAAGAAGATAGTCTAAAAATCTCCAGTTTCCAAAGATCAAGTCTTCACATTACTAATAAACACCCAAATGAAGAAAAATACGAAAATTATTCTGAAAACACCGATGAGAAATCCGAAGATTGCCCCACAATTGAAAAGAAAAAATCATGCATCAACATCGACTGGAGCAATACAGTAGAAGAAATTCCCGAGTCAACAAAATTGCCCTCCTCAAGTAAAGAGGAACCCCCCACAATATCATCATCAGCAAAATTGAAACGCGCCGGCTTTCAAAGTGGACTCAACAAGGCATTTGTCGGACCAATTATCGAAAAAACAATGACTCTAAAAGTCGCTGACAAAGTCACCACTCCAAATGAAACAAAATTTCGAAGAACAAATTCAGCGCCTCCAATTCGTCGGCCAATGAGTGTTTCATCAACCAGAACCCAAGTGAACATCTTGATTGATGCACCTGCAAGTAAAAATGAATTTTCAGACAAAATGGAATTGAAATTAAACGAAAGAAAAGATGTCTTGTCTGTGCTAACTAATGATAATGAAACTTCAATAAAGAATGTAATTTCCCATCGTCCGATAAAATCAGCGCCAATAAAGCGTCGAACAAAAAGCGGTAAAAGACGAGGACTCTCAATTGGATCAAAGGATGGCGATAATGATAATCATGATAGACGTCGTGGAAAAGCATTTCTTGAAAATAGAATGACGGATATTGTTACTATGGTTTCTCTTGTTAGCTCGGCTGACAGTGACAGCGATGTTGATGAGAATTCTCTGAGGGACGATAAATTAATTCACGAATTGAGAAATAAGCTACCGACTACGTCGATTATCAAGTCTTCTACAAATCCTGCCATTTCTAACAATAGGAGACCTATCAAATCTGGTTAGTTTAATTAAACTTATCAATAAATATAAGAAATTAAATTCAAACATTAAATGGAAGAAGAATTTGCTTCTTAATTTAATTTTTAATTAAATTTCAATTCCCATTTTAATTCTGTTAATTTCAATTTTTATTTTAATTAATTTAATTAATTTCATGTTTTTTCTTGTTCATTTTGTATTTTAATTTACATAATTACAATTTCAATTTTAATTTAATTAATTTTAATTTCAATTTCAAATTTATTCAATTAGACTCAATTTTGATTTTCATTTACATAAAATCCAGTTATTTTTAGTTCATTTCAATTTTAATTTTAATTCAAAATTCAATTAATCTTCATTTTTATTTTCATTTGCTTAATTTCAATTTTAATTTAATTAATTTCAACTTTAATTCAGTCAATTTTCATTTTCATTTTAAATTATTAAATTCCAATTCTAATTTTAATTCAATTAATTCAAATTTTAATTTAATTAATTTAATTTTCTTAATTTTAATAAATAAATAAATTTGAAGAGTAAAAGTAGAAAAATTCAAATTTGTCCCATCAGAACGTAAATTTTGATTTTAGTTGAGATGACACTGATAAATTAAATTCAATTAAAATCGATTCAAATTAAATAAAATAAATCCTATAAAAGCCAAATTCCCTCAAAAATTCTTTTTTGTAATTTCTCTAATGGCTTTTAACGATTATTTATTAATTAATCCTATGAATTTAAAAAAGAATTATTTTTTAAAGAAATGAAAATTTAAAAATGAACAGTAAAAAACATTGACAACAGTAAAATTTTCTATAGCTTAAAATTCACACTGGTCCCTCATTTTAACTATTGTTACCATTTAGAAAAATTGCTGACAAATTTTAATTTTTAAAATAAAAGTAAAATTTTTCTAACCCGAGACAGTTGGCAAAATGAAAAACAATTAATTAGAGAAAAACTAAAGATTCAGGAAGAAAAACGGAATTTTATTTTCTTGAGTATTTATCCTTATCAGAAAGGACGAGGGAAGAGTAGATATAAGAAAATAGTCAATAAACTCATTCTCCAAGCGAGACAAAATCAATGACACACGATTTACCTGGCCTACTTTTTAGTAAACAGTCAGTGGGCCAATATCAATATAGTCATCTAGTAATAAGATCCCATTTAATAATCCGTTTTTGAAACTCAACATACAATTTCGTTTTTTCAATAACTCTCTAAATTTCTAGTTTGAACAAGTCTTAAATAAAATCCTCAATTTAAAAAGACTTTTTCAAACATCAATTTTAGTTAAATTTAATAGCACATTAATTCTTATTACATTCAATTAAACGGAAATTTAACTTAAATTTAATTTAACGCAAATTTAAATAAAATTTAATTAAACGCAAATTTAAATTAAATTTAATTAAATATAAATTTAAATTAAATTTAATAGAATATTAATTTCAATTAAATTCAATCAAACATTAATTTTGAAAAAAAAGAATTAAAAGATCTTAATTTAGAAAAAGAAATTTAAAATAATTCATACAAATTATTCGACAGAAAAAAATTTTTGAAGAGATTGTCTACAATTACTATAATCAATAGTTAAAAGACATTATATCAGAAGTTTAATAGACTTCATAAACTTTAAATACCAAGTTACGTTTGTTCTTTGAGAAGATATATAAAGAATTGAAGACACTGATCCCAGAACCATTAACCTGATCCCAACTAAAATGTCCCTGAAAGCAACTTTGAATAATTGTAGTAATTTAACGAAAAGAGAGTCAAGGATAGAAAGGTACAGAGACTCCTTGGAACCCTAAGATTGTTCGGAAACCTAAATTCAAAACAATCGATGGTCGACCCGAATTTGAAAAAAATTACTCCTTGTCATAAAAAAGTACGAAAATTGGACCTCATTTTAACATCCACTTTACACTACAAAATTTTACTCGAAAATATTTTTTATTTCCGTATTTTCCAATATTTTTGTTTTCAAATAATAAAATTTTTCTAAATAAACGAAATTACCAGAAATAAAGAAATTATTCGAAATCAGCGATTTCGAAATTATTATTCGAAATTAACGATTTATTCGAAACGAACGGATCAGAAATTAGAAAAAAAGAATTCAGTTTAAAGATAATTATTTTTCTCTGTTTCTTGCAGTTTCTTTTCAACAAGATTCTTTCGACGAGGATCCTTTATCAAAAAATGAAGCAATAAAGGAAGAGAAAAATATTCTTTTGACTAGATATACGTCAGTGAGTCGAGTCAATAGCAGACCACCGACTCCAGAAGAAACAGCAGCGTGGAAAACGGAAATCTCTAAATTAGTGCCTTCACTTCCTCCACTCACGCAAGAGATTGAAACATTAAATATTCCATTAACTGATCGCGAGAAAAGATGTTTGGTTGTACCAATTAGTGATTTAAGGGACAAGAAACGAAAACTTTTACGCACACGAAGTACCCCACCAAAAACTGGGTAAGAAATTAAAAAATTGTTGTTGATGTTTTCTTTTTTTTCTGCTGGAAACAAATTTTGCGATTCCATAAAATTTAATAAAAAATTTCTTTTTTAAGAAAAATGACTTTTTTCTTGTTTTTAATCAAAAACAGCAAAGGTCAAAATGGAATGAAGAAAAACTAAACTACCGAGACCATTATATTCTTTCAGGGTCGCAAATCCCTTAAACATGCACAGATTGAATTCGATTACTTTCAAATTTATGATATAGCAGAAATAACATGAAAAACGTGACGCTGGCACTACCTTGCATTCGATAACAATTTATATTTCAATTTCTAATATTCATCATTAAGTAAACAGACGTGTCGGAATATTAATTGTCATACTAATCCAATATTTCAAAAAATATTATTTTCTAATCTTTTCCTACAGTTATTCACTAGTCATCTCCTAATATTTTCTCTTAATAAATATTAATAATATTTTTCCAATATTTTCCTAATAAATATTCCTAATATTTTTCCAATATTTTCCTAATAAATATTCCTAATACTTGTCCAATTTTTTTCTAATGAATTTTCCTATTTCCCAAATAATTCTTTCCTGATATTTTCCAAATATTTTCGAATATTCGAAAAACCTTCTAAAACAACAAATTTCGAATATTTGAAAAGAAAACTTTAAATTCCAAGATTCTCCCTTCGGAAACTATTGCAATTAAGATATAAACACTTCCAAGAAATTATTGAACTCAAGTATACTGTGCGCTTACATAAGCGTTTGGTTCATTGATCAAATCAATTTAGTTACAAACCATTGAGTAGAATAAAGTTTTCCCGCGAATAAAGTTCGCAGGAATCAAAGTTTCTGCACACGCTCTCAATAATTAAAGCAAAACAAGAGCTCTTTCGGCTTAATTCAAATGAGACGGTTCGTGAAAAAAAGCCTTTTTAATTTCTGACCTTGACGAAATGATTAAGCTTTAGACATGCACTTCATCGCTATCTTTTTTGAAGTCTCCGTCACGTGATTCATATTTACGTGACATCATTAATCTTTCCTCTTTTTTTTTCTTTTTTCATATAATTGAGTATTGATCCTTCTGCATTCTTAAAGAATTCACGTAGATTGGAAGAAATTAATAAATATTGTCATTCATCTTCAATGAGTATCATTATTCTCTCTTTCTTTTTTTTTAGAGAAATGGCTATAACTTCGAAGATAGAGTCGACATTGGCTTCCAGAAATTTACAAAATGAAAACACGCAACAGCCCATTATTTTGATAGAGAATCCAATTAAGGTAAAATTCACCTTTATAATACGATAATTCAAAGAAGTGTCACTAAAATTTCTCGATACTTCCTAAAACAATAGAATTAATTAATCAGGGTTGCTACAAAAATTTGATTTTATATTTCCTTGACTTTTCTTATTTCCAGACAAAATTCTGATTTTCTCACTGCATCTAAAGAATATTCTGATTCAATCTAAAAACTATTAGATAAACAAAAAATGTCTTTTAATACATTTATTTGTAAATATATTTAATTGTAAAACTGTTCGAAATATCAATATTTTCTTTTAGATAAATATTTAATTTAAAATTATTTTCTACAATTTTTAACTAAAATTCTTCTTTAAATCAATTATTTTTTATACATTTTGAGAAAGTTGTTTGAGAATTCAATACCATTCAAAGAAAAAAATTTCAAAAACTAACTTCTTCAGAATTTTTAATTACAATTATTTAAAATTTCAATTTGAAACCTTTAAAAGTTCAATTCTTTTAATTATAAAAATTACAAACGCAACTCTTTTATGTAAACCAATTTTATGACTCTAATTTTTTTAAAAATGTTTTGTTTAAAATAATTTTGGGTTAATACGTGATTTTTTTATTATAACAGATAAAATACCTAATTATTTTAAAAAAATGTAATTTTTGTAAGTTTATAATTTTCAATCCGAAATAATTAAATTCTTATAAAGAATTTTATTAAACGTTTTGAAAATAATTCAATTCTAGAGAAGAATTTTATTAAAATTTCTAAAAATAATTGAATTTTTTAGTAGAATTTTCTTGCAAAGAATTTTCTTATTTATGTAAAAAATTGAATTCTGCTGAAAATTTGAATTAATATAGAATTCCGTCGAAGAATTTTATTAAAATTTTTTAAAATAATTTAATTTTTGAGTAGAATTTTATTATTTATGAAAATTATTTAAATTCTTGAAAATAATTGAATTCCTTCAAAAGAATGTTCTTATTTATGTAAATAATTGAATTTTTGGGAAGAATTCTTTTATTTACAAAAATTGTAGAATATTTATAAAAATAATTGAATTTTTGCGAAGATTTTTATTATTTATGAAAAAAAACAAATTTCTTGCAAAGAATTTTCTTATTTATGTAAAAAATTGAATTCTTGGTGAAAATTTGATTAAAATATTTGAAAATAATAGAATTCCGTCGAAGAATTTTAATAAAATTTTTAAAAATAATTTAATTTTTGAGTAGAATTTTGTTATTTATGAAAATTATTTAATTTTTGAGTAGAATTTTATTATTTATGAAAATTATTTAAATTCTTATAAATGATTGAATTCCTTGCAAAGAATTTTCTTATTAATGTAAATAATTGAATTTTTTGTAAAAAATTTGATTAAAGTTTTTGAAAATAATTAAATTCTTACTGAAAATTTTATTACAAATTTTTGAAAATAATTGAATTCTATCGAAGTATTTTATTAAAATTTTTAAAAATAATAAATAACTATAATTTTTTAGTTAAATTATTAATAACTGAATTTTTTTAAAATTTAAATTTGCAATTATTTAGATACAAATTAAAGTTTTAATTTAAAAATAAAAAATGTTATAATTTGCATAATAACAAATTGAATACAGCAATTCCCGCTCGTAATATTTGCTAATTTTTAATAAGTTTTGAGAAAGTTTTTTGAGAATTCAATAATATTCGAAGAAAAAAAAATTAAAAAGCTAACTTCTTCAGAATTTTTAATTAAAATTATTAAAAATTTCAATTTGAAACCTTTTGAAATTCAATTATTTAGAAAAATTGTAAATGCAACTCGCTTGTAAATTTCAACTACTTTTGGAATTTTTAAGTAAAATTATTCATTAAATAATTTATAATTTTTATTTTTATTTATTTATTTCTTCAAAATTAAATAATTTCAGTTTAATATTCTGTAAAATTAAATTATTGTCAGAAATTTTAATTTTTAATTAAAAAAATTTAATGTTTAGTATATTAAAATTCGTAGTGATTTCAAAGTTTATAAAGCAAATTAGCAAACAAAAATAAATTCAAGAAGAATTAAATCTTTTTAATATTTTTAAAGTCTACTGGACTCGAAATTTCAGTATTTTCTTACGAATTCTAAAAATTTAATATTCTTCCAGTACTTTTGATAAATTTACCTGACGTTTCTCTAAATTTCCTGACCAATTCTAGTGTCCCTGACTTTTTCCCTGAATTCTCTGATTTTCCTGAGCTGTAGCAACCCTGTGAATATTTCGTAAAAATTAGTTATTCAATTTTCAAAAATTACATTTAATATTATCAATATATTTAAAAATAGATAGCTATGAATCATATAAATACGGCAACAGAAGTACCTGCATCAACTGAGATTCCTGAGGAACCTCCCTGTCAAACTGCAAAGGAAAAAGAGTGTTGGCACCTTTATCGTCGCATGTGTGACAAAGGAGTTTACGTTTCTTTTGACACAGTACTAAGGTTTGTAAATAATTCAATTTCTGAATAATGAAAAAAATCCTCTTTGAGTATACAAAAATATATATTTTAAGAAAAAAAATTCTAATAAAAAAAAAAAATGTTTCTCATTCGTTTTACGAATCACCTTTCAAAAACTAAAAAATTTAATTCTTCTTTTAGGGGAATGTTGACACCGACAGAATATCGATTACGTCAAAAGGAAATCTCTCAAAACTGTTGAAAGCTGTCTTTCTGTTACATATCAACAGAGAATTACCTCAAAAAATCAAATTTGAACTTTAAAACCTTTATGCAAAGTGTTATATAATTAGAGCACAAAAGTTTATTTTCGAGAAAACGTATATTATATTCTAGTCAGAAAAGTAATTTATATGAGATAATAAAAATAATTAAAAACTAAGTATATTATAATAAAAAAAATTTAAGCTAAATTAAGAAAAAAAGTTAAGCCACGACAAATTTAAGTTTTGAAAAATTTAAATTCTGAAACTTTGTTTTTTAAATTATAACAATAATTATATAAAACTGGATATTCAATACGAATATATAGTTTAAGATTTTAAATAAGATCTTGTTTAAGATAATAACGCACATTTTATGTAGAAATATTTTGAGAAATGAAATTATTAATAAGATTTCATTGCCTTTCTGTGAATACTTAGTATTCAAAGCGAAACGATCTTGTAATAATCAGGATAAATACAAACTGCCTATTTTTGTTATTAAACGTAGATTTAAAACTAAAATTAGGTACTATTGCTCAATAAACACTTCAATTATTACAATTGTTTTTTGTCTACACTCCTATTTTGTTGGAATTTTTTTAGAAATACAAATTTCGAATTACCTATTTGAATTTTAACTGCATAAGGAAATTTTTGAAAATTTAAAATAATTTTCAGGTATTTTAGGTTACGATAAAAAATATTCATAACAATGAATATTTCTAATTTAAATATCCAAGAGCTTTTAAATAGAATATTTACAAAATATTTGTAAAAATAAGAGATTACCTTTTTTTTAAAAATGTCACTTTCTCGAGCAATAATAGAAGAAAAGTTGTTGAATATTGATTATTTGAATTTCCTAGTTTATCAACCAAGTCGCCTCCATTGAATGCTGCACGTTTTGTTCCAAATAGAAAGCATGTAGACAAAGAGTGGAGTTCCCTCTCTAAGTTTCGTTAAATCTGTGACTAAAGTGATTGTTATCAGTTGGTATGTCATTTTTTAACAAGTGCAACGAAAAAGAAAATAATACTCACTGTTTTTCTTTTAGAATTTCAGATTTATTGAAATCATCTTCAAATGTTTCACTTCCGTTGTCACGTTGTGTTTAATAATATTCCAATCCATCCGCTGTCATGACCAGTACAAAACAATGCCCCTGTCAAAAACAAGAACAACTATGAGTAATAAGGCACGATTGGAACATAAATTATATTTGGTAAATATAAATCATTATTTAAATATACAAATAATAAATATTTTTCAATTTTTATACATTTTATTAAAAAAAAAACGATATTGATTTTTTTTAGATAAACACGATAACAATGAGATGAATCAGTAAACATAATATAGTATATTATTGACCGAATTTATATTTCAAACTGTATTTAATATTTTTTTTAAATGCTGCGCAAAATAAATTGCTTAGAGTTAAGAGAAATATTTCTAGAAGTAAAATTTATGAAAATAAAGAGATGACAATTTTTCTTTTTTTATAGGCAAGAGAGAATCCTGAACCGGTATTTGACATTTCAGAATGTTCATTAAAACAGGTCCCATCAGGAACTTACACATTGTGCAAAGTGTTCAGGAAAAGGACACTTTTGTTAAACAATAACAAATTAAGTTCACTTGCAGGTGGAGGTGCCTTAAGTGATCTTTCACTTTTAACTATTTTAGACCTCAGTTCTAATGAACTCAATAGTTTGCCTTCTGATGTTCGAAATCTCGTCTCTCTCGAGGTAAATTAGCATTTCGTTAAATATAAGTAAATAAATAAAATAAACAAACAATCAAACTATAGAAAATAGTAAATATATAGAAAGTATAGAAAATAATTTCAATTTCTAACTAAAGCAACATTATTCCAGAAATTGTTTCTTCAGGATAATAATTTAAAGAGATTGCCAAATGAAATTGTCAATTTAGGAAATCTAAATGTCCTAAATGTCTCAAAGAATAATCTAAAAGAATTACCGGAATTGTTGGGAGAACTGAGAAAGCTGACAATTCTAAATATTAGTTTTAATAAAGCCATAAAATGCCTACCAAAGTCATTAGGTTACGCACAAAAAATAATACAATTAGAAATAGATGGACTAAATCATCTTTCATATCCTCCAAAGGATATTCTCGATGGAGGTGCAATTGTGATTATAGCATTTTTATCAATTGAATGTGGTATTGAATATAATCCAGAGGAAACATTTGTAGAGACTGAACAAATAAAAAATGTAAATAGTGAACAAGTTAAAACTTTTTATCAAAATAAGGACAACGACACTCAGGTAGAAAATTCGAAAAACAAAGAAAATAATAATTCCCACAAAATCATCTCTCATTGTCTCTCATCTACTGATCAAAAAAAAAATTCCTAACGCATTTATTTTTATTTTTAGGCAACTCTCATTCTACTAGCAAAAGCAAAGGCATGTTTCCTAACAATTTGGAACATTTAGAAAAATTTTTTTCCGTTTAAGGACAAATTTCCTTTTGTTTTTTTGTTGGCTGTATTGGTTTGAATTTTTATTTCTATTACCTAGGTTTATTATTTTATTATTTTTATTACTATTATTTTTATTACTATAATTTTTATTAATATTATTTTAATTATTATTACTGTTATTGTTCTATAATTATTTATACTTTTACATTGTCATTCATACTTTCTTTTTTAATTTTCATGCGATATCATTTCACAGATTCAAAAAACTATCAATACTTAAATAATAATTTAAACTTATTTTTTAGGAACAAAGGCAAAGTGCACTTTTGGAAGTCGAAAGAAACATGAAGGAACAAAAAGAATTAGAATTGGGATTACAGTCGATGTTGAAAAATAATAAGAAAAAGGTAAAAAAAAAATTACTAATTGGTACAAATTTTTATCAAATAGAAAATAGAACTAAAGATTGAAATTTTTTTTCAGCTTTTGGAGGATTTAGTATTACAACAGTCACAACTGGAACAGGAAATTGTTAAAGTTCAACAAGAACGAGATGTCAATAAGGCTAAATTACTCTCCCATATTTATGACGGTATTCAAATTTTGTTCTCTTAAAGGAAATTCATAGAATTTCAAATTCCAATTCAAAATATATTGAAAAAACTGTTTAATTAAAAGAAAAAAAATTATTTTTACTTTTTTTTACAGCTGAAAAAGAAGCGGACGCAGTGATAAAACAATTTCTTAAGACAAGTGAAGAAGAAAGACTTACTCAGGCGACGTTAACCGAGCAAGAAAAACGTGAAGAAATGCAGTTGCTCAATGCGAGTTGTTCACAGCATTTGCTTCGAACAAAAGATACCCTCAGTAAGAAATAAATAAAAATATATCTCTGATAGAAATTAATTTCTGATAGAAATACATTTCTGATAAAAATATATTAAAATTATACATACATCCAATGAAAACTTATTTTTGATAGAAAAATATTTCCAAACGAAAATATATTTCTGAAATATATTTCTAACGAAAAAAATATGTTTCTAACAAAATTAAATTTCTGACAAATAGTTTCACTCGTGACAAATTTCTCAGAGAAATTTATTTATAATCAAAAATACTTTATTTCATTTAAACTGAAAAATATTTATTACAGTGTCAATGGAGGAACTTTTGAAAGAAGAATTGCTGAGGGAAAATAGGCTGGCAGAGTACGCAAAGTTTCGGGATTATAATGCTCGTTCTCTACTGAGCATGTAAGTAAAAAAAAATTTACTATAAAAAGTTATAATAAAATTAAATTATTTCTGAAATTTATGTTTTCAAAAAAACAATTTCCTTTTCTTTAAAAATTGTAACCGTTTATTGAACTTTGATTATAGTGAAGTGAAGAATAACGACAATCTAATGCAGATTATGAAAAATCAAGAGCGAAATAGACAAGATTTGGTAGAAAGATTGAGAAAAGATGAAGCATTGCAGAAAGCTGCTGTTGCTGCATTGCTAGAACTCAGTGATGCAAGATCATGGAGTATAGTTCAACAAGTCAATTTAGTTCAGTCACAACTTGCAACACTGACAAATATTGAATTGGAAAGAAGAAAACTTGAGATGAATCAGCAACTCGTAATGAATATTTTATTATCATTTCTATTAAGAGTCCTCTCGACTTTTATTTTATTTATTTATTACTTGAATTTACAAAGACTATTCAATTATTTATTATTTTATATTTTCAGAATGATATTGCTGACAAGAGGGTGACATTAAGTGCGATACTTTTGGACCTATTAGAACAGCAAGAGAAACGACGGGAGGAACTTTTAGATACAATTAAACATATTGAGGAATACCGTGATACGAGTGTAATTATGAAATACAACATTTTTTTCCTTTTTAATGGTTAAAGACAAAACTCAATACTTTTTTCTTTTTCAATACTTAAAGACGAAACTCAACATTTTTTCTTTTTTAATGTTTGAAGACGAAACACAATACTTTTTCTATTTTAATGTTGAAAGACGAAACTCAAATTTTTCCTTTTTAATCGAAACTCAAAATTTTTTTTTCTAATTTTAAAGACGAATATTAAGAAGAAATTTCTTTTCAGCCAACGAGGAGGAGCAGTTTATTCTGGTTAATGCAATATCAATCACTGATGGATGCAAGACCTCAAGGACTGTTAGAAACTTTAGAACCAACATTAGTTCGACACGTAGCGATAGCAGGGGTTTTACATTGTTTGCCATTTTTGACAACATTGCCGTCGATGTTACCTGACATTGACGACGAACAATTGAAAGCAGTACGTAAAAATAAATCATATTTGTACATTTTCCCCACAGCCCTATTTCTATCATTTATTTTCTCTAACTTTGAATTAATAAAAAGTCGACCACTAATTCAATTTTAATTAAATCATTTCATTTTTCTGAATTTGCTAACAGATTGGAATCAACAGTGACGTTGACAGAGCAGCGATAAAATTGGCAGCGGAAAATTATTTATCAGAGAAAAAATTAAATTCACATGAACCAATAATCATTCCTTCAGCTCCTATTGATGATCATCCTTCTGCCCCACCAGAAGAGGCACCCTGCACGAGTACATCTATTCAAGAAAATACACAAAGAATGAATACAACAGAATGTGTTGTTTGCATGGATTCACAAGTGAGTTTTGAAATTTTCATTTGAATATTTTTTTTGAAACTATTTCACAAAAATCTAACAATTAACTCGAAAATAATTTTCTTCTAGTGTGACATAATTTTCTTTCCCTGCGGACATCTTTGCTGTTGCGCAATTTGTACAGAAATGATAACCTCGGAATGCCCCATGTGTCGAAGTGAAATAACTCGAAAAATAAGGGTTATTCAGCCTTGAAAAGAACATTTTTTCCTAAAGATTTCATTTTCATTTTGAAATCTCATAATTTAAAATTTTACGATTTCAAAAAATTCGTATTTTAATAATTTCGAACGTAATAATTTCAAAAAATTCATAAATTCAATTTCGTAGTATATTAAAGCGTAGAAGCATTTTTAAATTTCATATTTTATGTAAATAGAATGGCTAGAGTAGATTTGTATTTTTCGAAAGTAATAAAATTTAATATAATACAAAAATGAAGAATCGAAACAAGTCTTCAGTTTTAAAAATATCTTTTTTAAAAAAAAAGATTAAAAAAAAACAAAAGCTTTGTAATTAGTATTTTTTTATCAGAATTTTAAATTTATATTTAGTATTTTGTATGTTTGTTATATTGAAAAAATATTTCGAAAGTATAGAGATATAATCTCAATTTAATTTTTTGTTTATTAAAAGTTGTAGTGCCTCTTAAATGAATTATTGAATATTCCTCCGTATTCATAATTTAGTAACACTATATAAGTAGTGACGATAATTATTGGAAAGATTATTGAAAATATAATTAATATAATTATACAAAAATATAATTATCAAAATCTCGCCCATTATTGAAAATTTTCTAAGGCATAATAATATCGTGTCACTATTCAGTTTCAGTGCTTTCCACAAAAAATTTTATTCCAAAAAAATTGTAAAAAAAAATATTTCAGAAAAGTTCTGTAGAGAAGTTAAGCTTTTCTTATATACAATTTAAGTGTTTCTTTTTTTTTTAAAGTTGCACAAACATAATATAAGCCAAGTAATTTATAAATAAACATTCATAAAGCGAACATTTTTTTAAAAAGACAATTTGTATCTTATTCTATATATTGTAAATATACAATAAAAAATAAATACTTATTGATATTTTTAATGTCTACAAACTTTTACAAACTGGCTGTAATAAGAATAATTTAACAGTTAATTATAAATAATCATTCCTGTTTTGTGAATTTACAGTAAAAAAAAAAGATTCAGTCATTTTGACAGTGTTTCCTGCACGTCAAGAATAGTTTATTCACATTTCTTAATTGTAAATATATGTAAATTAATTGCGGTGAATTTTTTAGAGAAAGTTAAGAATAACATTCAATTTTTTTTATGACGCTTCGTACTTTGTATAAAAAATATTTGATTTTCCGATAACGTCAAATATGAGTATAATAATTCTATTTTCTAAATTTGTATTTATTCGTCTTCTTGCATTTCTCCAGTATCTTCATCTGGTTTTGATGTGCTTAGTTGCTTCTTTTTTGCTGTAGCATCTTTTTTCTCTTTCTGAGTTTTCTTAAAGTTTTCTAAGGCCTCATTTAATGGTGACTTAAATTGATCAAACTCAATATCTTCAATTGCTTGAATAACATCTGAACCACTTATTGTTTTGCGATTATGTTTTTTTGCTATCGAATTCGCCGTGGATGTTAAATAGAGGATAAATATCGAAGAAGCTTTTGCAACTGCGAGCCGAGCATCTTTTCCAACTGAAATTCCATCTGGTAAGGCTTCCTTAATAATTCTAGTTACAACCGCATTTGGAAGATTTAGATCCTCTAATTTTTCAGCCATCTGATAGTAAACAAATTTGTCATTTTTCTTAAAGTTTGAAGCAGAATTTTTGTAATAGTGTTTAGAAATTAAACAAGAAAATATTGTTTATATGTAAAAAATATTTAAAATAACTAATTTTATTTATAATTTAAACAAAGTACGTTATATTAAAATATTGAATTTTGATTCATTTCTTTTTAATTTTAATTAATAATTAATTTCATTAATTTCAAGAATGAGTATTTAAAAACTAAATTTGAGGTTAGGTTTTTAATTGATAGTTTGTTTGGCATTACTTACATTTGTTGGTGTGTAAACAAAATACTAAACAATGCACTTGGAATATATTACTTATTAACATTAATTCACGATTAAAATTGGGAAATAATTTAAGTATTTAACAAAATGCTAGATGCATTTACCGCCACACATAATTTTTTTATTTGTGTATAAACGAGAAACAAACGTTTTTTTTGTTATTCAAATCGGAAGTTATGAATGCGCAGTCATTTCCTGTTGCGATCGCGGGGAATTCAAAAATTCTGCTTTTTATTTCTTTTTATAGAAAAAAAAGTAAGTACTATTTTAAATATACCAACTATTGTCAAATAATAATTAATCAAAAGGTGATACCTAAATCTATCAAATTCTATAAATAAATCATGTTTTTTCAAGTTCTAGCACAGACAACTAGCGCTCTACTTCACAAATCGGATGAAGACAAAACCAGTTTTACATTTTTAGATTCTCTTTTCCATTCTATATTTCATGATCCAAGATTAAAAATAGCAATTTCGTCGTCTGCAAGCAAGTCTGCCACACAACTATTTGACACATAAAAAGTGTCGTATGTCAAAGTGACAGTAGGGATTCATTTAAAAGAAAATTAATTGTCACAAAGTGTCAAAAAATCAGATACATCATTTGGAGGAAAATGTCAAAAATAGAAGAAGGAAATGCTCACATTCGACAGGCAGAAAAAAGGTAAGTCTGTTAAAATTTAGAATATTGACTGTCTTTATTGAACTGAACGTTATAATTTATTTATTATTCAATTAAAATATTTCTTTTCAGCCTGAAGACAAGTTTATTGAAATGGAGACCAGATTACGAAGTTGCTGCTGATGAATACAATCATGCAGGTAAATTTCCCTATTAATTTACATTTATGAAATAGACTCACCCAGTTTTGTTTTCTTTATAGCAACATGTTTTCGTATTGTCAAATCATATCAACAATGTAAGGATTGTTTAATGAAAGCAGCTGACTGTTTCAAGCAAAATAGATCGTATCCTTTTATAATCAATCTTTTTCCAAATGACACTATTTTAATGCTACTGAATTTAAAATTACAGACGATTCTCTTTAATCAATATTTTAAAAAACATCCATTATTTATAATTTGTAATTTTTCTTAACAATTAAATTAATAGATGGTTCCATGCGGCCAAGTAAGTAATTCGAATTTCTATTTTTTTCCCAAATATTTTAAAATTACTAATAGTTCTTTTTTTTCGTCACCTTTAGGAGTTTCGAGCAAGCCCTACTAATTTGTAAGGAAATGGGAACTTTATCAGAAGTTCCAAAGTTAGCACATTCGGCGTGTACTTTATATCAACAACATGGATCTCCGGAATCTGGAGCAACTGTTTTGGACAAAGGGGCAAAATTAGTAGAAGCTACGGAACCTGTAATGGCACTGGAATTATACAAACGAGCAGCTGACGTTGTCATGGTATTTTTTTTTTGTTTTTCTAAACTAATTGAATTGCAAGTAATTTGTTACTTTTATATTTTTTGTCACGTAACAGGGTTGCCACAAAAATTTAATTTTGTTTTCCCCAGACTTTCCAGACATAATTTTGAATTTTTTCGTGATTCTAAAGAATAGTCTGAATCACTCTAAAAATTATTAGATACTGAAAAAAATGTTCTATTACATTTATTTACGAATTTCCTTAATTGTAAAATTATTCAAAAACACCAATAACTTCATTTTTAAATAAATATTTAATCATTATTTTTCCATAGGAATTATGATTTTCAAAAATTTCAAATTCAAACACTTTGAACTTCAATAAATAATGAAAATATTGTTGTAAAACACGAAGAAATAGAACACTCCGAGTCAAAGACTCAGAGTGCTCGATTTCTTCACGTTTTATATAAATAATTACAATTTTTAACTAAAATTCTTCGTTAAATCAATTATTTTTAATAATTTTTGAAAAAGTTCTTTGATAATTTTAAATCCTTTGTGAATTGTTTATTAAAAGTATCTTGACAAATTTTAATAAAATTTTTAAAAATAATTTCTTTTTTCGAGAAATTTTATTAAAATTGTATTAAAAATAATTGAATTTCTCCAAAAAAATTTATAAGAGTTTTTGAAGTAATTGAATGTCTCTAAAATTTTTATTATTTATAAAAATAATTAAATGTTTGCGTAGAATTTTATTAAAGTAGACGATATATTAAAAATCATTGAATTGAGAAAAGTTTTTGAAAATAATTGATATTTTGCAAATAATTTTATTAAAATTTTTGAAAATAATTGAATTTTGGAGACAAATTTTATTATTTAGAAAAATAATTGAAACTTTGACTAGAATTTTTGTATATTTTTGAATATAATTGAATTTTATTACCATTTTTGAAAATAATTGAATTCTTGAGACGAATTTTAATAATATTTCTTTTTAAATAATTGAATTCTTTTGTGAAATTTTATTGAAATAGTAGACATTGAAAATTAACTGAATTTACTTTAAAGTAAAGAAAATAACTGAATTATTAAAATTATTTTTAAAAAAATAAATTGTAGCAAAAATTTTTAAAATAATTGAATTTCTTTAATGAATTTTAATAAAATTTTTAAGAATAATTACATTTTTCGAGGAATTTTATTAAAATTGTATTAAAAATAATTAAATTGCAAAAAGAATTTTATTATTTATATGAAAATTTTTGAATTCCTGTAATGAAAATAATTGAATTATTGCAAAGAAATTTAAAATAAATAATTTGTAAATAATTGAGGACTTGGATCCAATAACTCGCCCGACGCTCGAAGGCACGCGCTAATACCAGTCGGGTAGCAGTGAGTGGCCCAGAGGCGCTCACTGCTCACTGACTGGCAGTTGCGCGTTCCTCCTAGCGTCGGGCGAGTTATTGGATCCAAGGCCTCAATTGAATTTTTGTAAAATTTTTATTATTTGTGAAAATAAATTAAATGTTTGAGTAGAATTTTATTAAAAATTTTTAAAAATAATTGAATTCGTTTTGAAAATTTTATTAAAATTTTCAAGAATAATTACATCTTTCGAGGAATTCCATTTAAAGTCATTAAGATATTAAATTTGATTAAAGTATTTACAGTATTTATAGTAATATTGACATTAAATTAAAATATTAAAAATAATTGAAATTTAATTTTATTATTTATGAAAATAATTGAATTCCTGTAAAAAATTTTATTTTTAAATAATTGAATTCTTTTGGAGAATTTTATGAAAACATTCGATATTGAAAATTATTTAATTAAGAACAATTTTTGAAAATAATTGAAGTTTTGCACAGGAATGAAGAATTAATTAATTAAGTTATTTAAAATAAATTATTGTCAGAAGTAGAAAAAATTGAAGGTTTTGTATTAGAATTCGTGGTAATTTCATAGTTCATGAGTCAAACAAAAAGACACACAAATTCAGAATTATCTTATAAATTCTAAACATTTAATTCTTTCCAGTACTTTGAATAAAAATCCCTGATTTCCCTGATTTGTGGCAACCCTGACGTAAGCAATTTGTTACTTCAAACATTATATTTTTCGTTACCCAAGTAATTTATTTTTATAATAATAATAGGGAGAAGATAGTCCACGACAAGCAGCAGAGTACATGAGTAAAGCAGCAAGGATTCTCGTGAAATTAAAAATGTACGATCAAGCAACGGACGCAATTCGTAGGGAAATAGGAATGCATCAACAAATTGACCACACGCCTTCTATAGGACGATTAGCAGTTGTATTAGTTCTCGTGCAACTTGCTCGAGGCGATCAAGTTGCGGCGGAAAAAGCCTTCAAGGAATGGGGCAACTGCTGTGATGTTCCAGAAGTAAATTTCTCAGGGCATAAAATTTTCTTTACAATTTTGCAGTAGAGACTTGCAAAATTTTCTGAATACTACTTTCTACTTTTAGGTGCAAACTTTGGAAATGTTATTACAAGCCTATGACAACGAGGATGCAGATGCAGCAAGAACAGCTTTAAATAGTCCTTTCATCAAACACATGGATGTAGAATATGCAAAATTAGCCAGAGGACTTCCCCTACCTCAACAAGAGTACGCTGTACCACCTGCAGGAATTCGCGCAAACGCTGCGGAATCTTACATTTCTCCTAACGCCAGTAAACTTACAGGACAAGCCACAGTCGAAGCGGAAGTTAATCGAGTAAACTATTCAGATAAACCAAACTAATTTTTATTTTCACAACGAATTATTTCGCCCTAGTATTTATATTCTGAAAAATTATTTCTACCTAGTATTTATTTCCCCGACGAATTATTTCCACCAAGTAAATACAAGGTTACAAGTAATTTACAAATAGTAAATTATTTTAAATTAAAAACAATTTTTTTCAACAGGAAAGCCAAGAGGCCACAACGGAGAATAAATCAGAAGCTAAAGCAACAGAATCGAGTTCAGCACCTTCACAACCGGCAAGTCAAGTTGAAGAAGATGATGAATATGAAGGTGGATTATGTTGATCACTTTTATTGCACACATTACTAGCTCAGAATTTAGCTTTCTTAAGAGAAAAAACAAAAATATTGGCATTCCTTCTGTAGAAAAACAATTCTTTTTACGTTTAAAATTAAAAGTATGTATCTATTTTTTAAAATGCAATTTCTCAACAACTCAACAACTTTCAAACATAATTCAAAACTAAAAATCAGAAATTTTTGTGAAAAAAAAATTACAGATTATGGATATTTATCTCTGATTCCTGCACATCTTTAAGGTATATAATATAAATAATAATTATTAAGTGAGCACATAGAAAATGAGAAAACAATTGCGATAGGTATATTAATTATCTAAACGCTAATCCTAAAAACATTATAGTATTTTAAATAAAAATGTTACAGTTAAACATTTCATAATCTAATTAATGTATTTAAAAAAAGTGCATTTAATTTAGTGAATTGGTTCTTAATGAAATAAATTTAATAATATTCTAGTCTAATGATGGAGATTCCGAGTACAATAATATTTATTTAATATATATTATTATTAATATATAATAATAATAATAATAATAATAAAAATTAAATAATAAAAAAGAATAGTAGTAAAAAATTAATAACCGTACATATTATTATATATTAATAATAATTAATAATTTCTATTATTTTAATATACTTTCTAGTCTGTTGACTCTTTAAAAAAAAAATTTTGTTATTAAGATTTTTTCTGAAATAGATTTACTTCATTAGGTTTTTAATAATCTTTTTAATTACATATTTAAGTTTGAAAATATGTGCAAATATAATAATAATGATAATAATAATAATAATGTTATCATATATTGAAATAAAAAAATGTTGAAAAATATTTTATAATTATCTTTCCTGTATAACTATTAAATTAACGTAAAATATTTCAAATATTTCTAATCTGATTAGTCGCTAATGTTTAGAATTTACATGCGCTTATTTAATTACTATGTGATTACACCGTTAAAAAAGTAATTTAAATTTGATTTTTATTTCTGAACATTTCTGATAAAGACACAATGTATATTAATTTTTAATTTTAACAAATAAATTATTATTGTTTCTTGTTATTTTTTTTACTGTAAATTTTTTTGCACATATAAAAAAAAGAAATGGCACAAGAGAAAAATAAAGGTGAATTTTATTTGAAAAATTTGGAAAGCAGTCAAGAAAACCAAGCATTGAGAATGTAAATTTCAGACGAAGTTGCAGACGCTTTCAGTCATTGGCTCTTTAATTTATGAATTTAGAAATAAAATCAAAAATATGGAAATTTAATTCTTTAAAATAAATTCAATGAATCAATAGAAAATTCTTATTCTTCGAATAAGTAAATAGAATATTTTTTGAATAATTAACGCTCTACTTTGTATTATTGATTGAAAAAATTAAATTGGAATAACAAAATATAGAAACAATAATAATAAAAAAATAAAATAATAATAATATAAATAATAAAAATAATGATAATAATGAATAAAAGGTAAAATGTACAAGTAATAATAATAATATTTTGTGAACGTGAAAAATATATTTTCAAAACTATTTTTCGATTTTCATGAAAAATACTAACAAAAATATATTTTCAAAACTATTTTTCGATTTTCATGAAAAATACTAACAAAAATATATTTCAAACGAAATCAAAATGAATTTAATAGAAACGTTTTTTCTTTCTATACAACTGTAACGAAATTCCTAGACAACCTTCTCCCCCTCTTCTAAACATCCCTGGACCATCCCTCCTACGCATCCTTCATGCAACTGCGTTTAGGGAGAGAAGGCCCAAAAAGGGCAGTTCTAAACTAGACCTCGTTCGACATAGAAGTATACAAAGTTACGGCTTTGTATCCTTACTTTTATGTAACAATTAACAAGTATAATAAATAACTATTTTATTCACGAGTAAATTGTGTTATTAATTATTTTAACAAATAATAATTTAATTTCTCTCGAATAATAAATAAAGAATAATAAATTGCTACGTACAATTTATTATCTTTGAATATTTATTATTCGAAGTGAAAGATAATAAAAATCCCGTCACAAAATTGGCGATCCTGCCAGGATACGTGTTGAGTTTATTCTTTTTACGGAAAGTGATACTCTAAAACCGTATCTTGAAACGAACGTTTAATAAATTAACCGCGAGTGAAAAGTGACGGATGTATTTTGATTTTACAATCAACAAACAAGGAAAAAATTAAAGAAAAGAAAATTCAGCTTCATAATCTTTGTGATTTTTGAGTAAAACTAGCGGCTGAATCAAGTAGGTCCTATATTACGTAAACTTGAAATCTCAAAGATTATTTATTGGGAACGTAAATCAGTACGGTAAAACCCAGAAGAAACAACCAGGAAGGAGCTTTACCAGGACACTGGAGCGCATTAGGACAACAGGCATCGATTACAGAGGATAGCAGAGGCAAGTAAAAAAAAAAAAAAAAAGAAAAAAAAATCGACGAAAACTTAGATAGAAATTTTGTAATTTAGACTAGGCGTTGGTATACTCCTGGTGTTCCAGAGCACTGCCATCGTTAATAAATCAAAAACTGAATCCGAATTAACCTTGTATGTACTCCATGTAGACGGATTGTACAAGTGAGGATTATAAAAAAAAAACACTTTTAGAAAATTAATTGTAACGCGTTCGGTATGCACACACCCGACACTCGAATTATAGTATACACAATTTAAAACTTAAAGATCAAACTGGCTTTAAATTCATATTTAAAATATTTAACGGGTTTCAACGAAAGTTCTCAGAAAAATTCCTTAAATAATAATCCAATTTCACCCTCTATAATAACTCCAAAAATGAACTCAACCACTGACGATATTAACCAAGAACAATCAACTTTACAGTTAATTTTAAACAAGTTAACCCTTATCGAAGAAAATCAAAAAATTCTTAACGACGAAAATACTAAAAGAGCGGACGAAATAAAATTTCTTGCCCAAAAACACAGTTTACTACAATTGACAGAAGACGATGAAACAGATTATACAGAACAAGATAAAGAACAGAAACCGAGAAAATTCCTTTCCGAGCACGGAAGAACATCAAAATACATAGAAACGGACGTCGATGAAGAATTTCAAGAATTACATAATGCAGGGACCCATTCACAACGGGCGATCGGCGACGAAAACGGCATCGGCGCGCAGTCCATATCCCAGCGTATGGTTGCAGACGCAACTATACCAGCAAAGGACATGATCCGAACAATAGAGACTTTAAACGGACAAGACGACGTGGGGGTCCAAGACTTTATTTTAAACGTTAAACGTGCTGTTTCTAAATGCTCGCAACCTGACCTTCTTTTAGACATGATAAAAACCGAAAAAATTCTAGGTAACGCTAAACGTGCTATTCGACATTGTCCCGCTAACAATTTCGAAGACCTTTTTAAATCCCTCAAAATTAACCTTTATTCAGAAACTTCCGTAGAATTATGCAGGACTAAATTAGAAAGTTGCAGACAAAACAACGATTCAGTACAACTGTATAACCAAAAATATAGACAGGTTTTTAACGAATTAAAATATGCCATTCAAGCCAAACACTCGGGATCGATAGCCAGAAAAATTGCCCTTCAAATAGAAGAACAGGCAGCTATAAAAAGGTACATAATGAACCTTCGCGACGAAATCGGGAGCCAGGTTCGGCCTTTAAAACCTGTAACTATTACCGACGCACAACAGGAAGCATTGGAAGCCGAAACTTGGTACCGCGAGAAACTAAAAAATAGACTTCTAACTACTTCTAAATCGCAATTCCAATCAAATCTTCAGAGACACGAAAATGTAAACCGGAGAACACCTTCGTATCAAAGTGCTAATAATAAAGGAAATCAATTCGAGCCGCCTAACCACAACTTACCACTAGCTCAACGTTTCACAATGTCATGTACCAACTGTAAAAAAATTGGTCATACTGAAAATCAATGCCGGTATCAAAAACAAAATACAAATTTTCACGGGACACAGAATCAAACACGACCCCCTCAGAGAGTTCATTACACAGCGGAGGCCTTAGTGGAAGAAGAGACAAGCGACAAAGAGTTAGAAAACGTAGAAACAATAGAGAACAAGTCGATCGAATTAGTTGCATATCCGGAAGATTGCAATCAATTATTATACAACCCATTGGATTCGAAAGAGACATTCGACTCCTCGTGGATACAGGATCTTCCATAAATTTAATAAAAGAATCACACCTTCCCCAAAATTTCCCTAAAGAAGCATGCGAAAAAAAATTTCAAATGGGCAACGATACACAAACCGCTAAGTACAAAGCAGAAATAAATTATATTAACAAAAATCATGTTGTATACATAGTACCCAACGATTTCCCACTACCAGAAGATGGTATATTAGGATTACCGTTTTTGCAACAATACTTGTATAGACTATCCAACACAAAACTGCGATTAAACGAACAAGAACACGAATTAATAGAGGATGGAATCTTAATACCTCCCAATCAAATTAAATTAATTCGCATACCGGTTACAAAAATAAAAGGGACTGTAGGGATTTTTGATAACCCTTTTATACCAGATTCAATCTACACTATTCAAGATAAAACTGTGACTGTTCCCATTAGTAATAATTCTCCATCATCGAAACATCTCAACTTGAATGATATTAAATATCAATATATTACATCCAATGTCCCAGAACCAGGAGTTATGTATATACCTGCTAATGAATTAGCAAAAAGAATACAATTGCTCAATGATAATACGCGGATTAATCACGTGGAAACAGGTTTTAAGGAAAATATTCTAAAAATCATTCACTCATATCACGACATTTTCCGATTACCAGGCGACCCATTACCGGGTACAAATCTCGCTCACCACAAAATTACTCTCAAAGAAGACAAGATAATTAATACGCGTTCATATCAACCACCAAAAGTCCATGAAACAGAGGTATCCACCCAAGTAGGAGAAATGTTTGGAGCAGGTGTTTTACGGCATTCCAATTCACCTTATAACTCACCAGTGTGGATAGTCCCCAAAAAATCAGATGCATCTGGCAAGAAAAAGTGGCGAGTTGTTATAGACTTCAGGAAAATTAATGAGATTACGGATCAAGATTCTTATCCAATACCTGTGATAGATGACATTATTTATAACTTGGGAAATGCTAAATTTTTCTCCGCTTTCGATCTTAGTTCTGGTTTCCACCAAGTGCCAATGGAGGAAAGCTCTAAGAAATTCACCGCCTTTTCTACACCTGACGGACATTTTGAATTCGAAAGAATGCCTTTCGGTTTAAAAAATTCCCCAGCAACATTCCAGAGAATGATCAACACTGCATTAAACGGTCTTATTAATAAAGTTTGCATGGTTTATCTGGACGACATTGTAGTTTATGGTTCGACAGTTGAAGAACATAATAAAAATTTAGTGATACTTTTTGAAAGATTGCGTCAAACTGGATTAAAACTACAGCCAGATAAATGCGAATATTTAAGGCCTGAGTTAGAGTACTTAGGGCACATAGTAACTAAGGACGGAATTAAACCCAATCCTAACAAAACAAAAGCAGTATCCGAATTTAAAACCCCACATAATTTGACTACTCTAAAATCATTTTTAGGTCTTTCGGGATATTATAGAAAATTTATAAAAAATTATTCTACCATTGCGAAACCACTTACCGAACTAACCAAAGACTCAAAGGAATTTCTTTGGACTTTAAACTGCCAAACAGCATTTGACAAACTAAAAACATCCTTGTGTCATGCACCCGTTTTAAAATATCCAGACTTTGCGAAAGAATTCACTCTCATTACGGACGCTTCGAATGTCGGCTTAGGAGCTATCTTATGTCAAGACGGTCACCCTTGTTACTATATTTCAAGAACATTGAATGCACCCGAATTAAATTACACTACTACGGAAAAAGAACTTCTTGCCATTGTATGGGCAGTTCAAAGATTTAGGCAATATTTGTTAGGCAAAAAATTTAAGATTCTTACCGATCACCAAGCCCTAAAGTGGTTATTTAATGTAAAGGATGCTTCTTCTAGACTGATGAGATGGAGGCTTAGGCTCGAAGAATATGATTATGAAATAGAATACAAAAAGGGTTCTGAAAATACTGCAGCTGACGCTCTTTCTCGTATATGTCATATTAACAACAATGGTAATGTAACGCAATCTAAACAAAGTGATTTTAACTTAGAAGAAGAGTTACCCGATATCGAAATTATTGATACACCTTTGGAAAGGGATCTTACAACACCAGAACCTCTAAACAACGAAGCACAAAATCCATCGAAGGTACATTCATCGGACATGAATGAATCTAATACTTTAGACTTCGAAGAACTATTGCCGAATATAGATTTACGACTTAACACAGAAGACTTACCACAAATAATAGACCCTTCACCTACTAGAACAGACGATCAACAACTTGTTAAAGAATATTATAAATGGTTTACGAATCGAACCGAAAGTCGGGAATCTGAAAAACCGAATGCAAACGGAAAATTATGGAGGGAATTTAACAAACGATTTACTAACAATCCAAATATTAAAGTGTTACCACCATACAATGAAAAAGATTGGCTTCAAATACTCGACAATACAGCACGTTGGACAATCTCGAAAAAACTCACTATCTTAAAAATGCATTTTAACGACCCCACTTTCACATCGACCGAAAGAGTAAAGTTGAAAATTTTGATATCTTTTATCAGTCATAAGTACCCACAACTTAAGATTCATACCTGCTACAATTCTACCTCTGAATTATCAGAGAAAGAAAAGAAACAAATTATCGCCGAGAGCCATGGATCCATAATGGCTCAACATTTTGGCGAAAACAAATCGATTCAAAGAGCACGTGAATTAGGAATTTGGAAGAACATGGAGAACGATATAATAGACTATATTAAAAAATGCGACACATGCCAGACTCAAAAACTAACGAGAATTAAGAGAAAATCGGAAGCAATAATTCCTGACACTCCAACAGAACCCAACGAGAAAATAGCAATGGATATTTTTGGCCCATTACCGGTAACTTCTGAATCAAACGAATATATACTTTCGATTCAAGATATGTTGACAAAATATCTTATATTAATACCCTTAGTGAATACCCAATCCGAAACAATAATCGAAAAACTTTTTGACCATTACATCTACATTTTTGGATCACCGAAGCATATTTTGACAGATCAGGGACAAAATTTAGTATCGGAACTTATGCAAAATTTTGAAAATTTGTTCAGAATTCAACATATTAAAACTACGGCTTTTCACCCACAGAGTAATGGTAGTTTAGAGAGAGCTCATGGCACGATTAAAGATCTAATTAGGACAGCAATGACAGATTTACATACTGAATGGGACAATACACTTAAATTCATATGTATGGCTTACAATACAATGCCACATGAAGGGACTGGATTCAGTCCGTTTCAACTTACATTCGGGCGCAATGCAAATGTACCTTCTGTGTTAGCAACAACTCCCAGTATAAAATACTCAGAACTAGTGAAACTCTGGCAAGAAAGACACGAACGTTACATCGGTAAAGCTCGAGAAAAGATCCAAAAATCTAAGGAAAAGTACAAACGAATACAAGATGCGAAAATTATTCTACCTCAAAAACTGTTTGACATCGGAGACCTTGTAATGATAACCAACACAAAAGAAAATAAGCTTAGCCCCGATTGGAAAGGTCCGGCGACAATCATTAAACCGCTACCTAACAATAATTACGAAATACTTTTTAATAATCAAAGAACAGTTATTCATGCCGATAGACTCAAATTATATAACTATTGAACTTATTTTTAGGTAATAAGAAAAATGCAGAGGCTAGTTTTTATCATCACATTCATATTGGGCATCGTCTACTCTGATGTAATTTTCCAACCTGTTGTGAATACACCAATCTTTGCTGAAAATTTGGGAACCACAAGTCTCTACCACCGGACATGGAAATTAATTATAGGAGTTGACACCAGTAGCATTGAAAGCAGATTGGAACAAATACGAACATCTTATTCTAAAGCAACTGAATTATGCAATCATTGTGCCGAAGAATTTGAGATCAATATTCTTAATAATCGTATATTAAGAGTGACTGATCTCCAAACTACATTACAACAGATATTAGGATTTTCCCGTACTAAAAGAGGACTTTTAAACATCATAGGGACAATATCAAAGACTCTATTTGGTACACTCGACGAACATGATATGGATATTATAGATAAGGAGTTTGACAAAGTATATTCCGACCGAAAAATAATTACAGAAACAATAGGAAACCAAACTAGAATTATTAAAACACTTCTGAATACTGCCTCTCATGATTTGCAACTTCTAAATAAAGAATCGGGTTCTTTAATTGAGCAACTTAATCAGCTAGCTAATTCAACTAACGCGAACGCAAGAAATATGATAATTGCTAATATACTTTCCATTTGTACAATAGCAGTTAGTGAATACAGCGAAGATATTAATCTAATAATAAATGCTATAAATGATGGGAAGCATGGCATTGTACATCCCCAAATCCTCACACCAAATATGCTAATTGGAGAATTACAACGCATCGAAGAAGATACTAATTCTAAATACCCAATTAAATTAATCCCACAAAACTACCAGCACATTATTGACATCTCAGAAATAACTGTAAGCATTGTACACAAAAATTTAATCTATATCCTCAAAGTACCAGAATTAGAAGAACCAACTCTTCAAACTCTACATCTACTCCCTATACCTATTCGCCATGGAACAGGGTTCATCGCACCCATCCCATCTCATGAAATTATCCTTATAAACCAAGAGAGAACTTTCTTTGTACCCTCAGATACAACAACACTTAAAAACTGTAAAACACTAGAAGATACATACATTTGTAAACGATTGCAACCATCTTTTCTAATCAGCGAAGTCGAAAATTGCGAGACAAGTATTGTTAAACACAGATATAAGACCATTTCTGATAAAGTATGCGATTTTTCTGTATTTAAAATATCAGAAATGGCATTTATACCTCTTCACGATCCAAACCAGTTTCTTATCATCCCAGAACACGAGATGGAATTAAATGCTTTATGTGACACGAAAAATCAAATTATAACCATTAAAGAGCCGAGCTTAATTCATAGTAATTCAAACTGCATACTACATACACCAAAATCCATTCTCAAACTACATAACTCCATAGAACATAAATTCGACATTAAGTTCAAAAAGAACTTATCATTTTCAATAAGTCAAACTGATTTGGATTTATTAAGTCACCAGTTACCAATAATACAAGAATCCATACACAGGGAAAAGTTTAACTCCTTAAAACGAAGTATCGATACTATGGAAGTATCGATCCAAAGTATAAAAAATATTCGACGAACAAAATCTTGGGTAGAAAAAAGCACCGATATATTAACATATTTAGGATACACATCTTTAGCTGCAGTAACAATGTACCTTCTATATAAATCCGGAATTTGTAAATTATTTTCTAAGTTACTACCAAAAAATCTATGTATTAATTTACTCTGTGTTAAAAACAATGTTACGACGACACCAACAGTACATTACACGAGCGCACCTACAGCGCCACTACAATTAGATGAACATTTAAAAATCGTCCCTCAAAAAATAAGGTTTCGACCTTAGGGACTAAGGTCAGTCTAAGTTGGGGGGTGTAACGAAATTCCTAGACAACCTTCTCCCCCTCTTCTAAACATCCCTGGACCATCCCTCCTACGCATCCTTCATGCAACTGCGTTTAGGGAGAGAAGGCCCAAAAAGGGCAGTTCTAAACTAGACCTCGTTCGACATAGAAGTATACAAAGTTACGGCTTTGTATCCTTACTTTTATGTAACAATTAACAAGTATAATAAATAACTATTTTATTCACGAGTAAATTGTGTTATTAATTATTTTAACAAATAATAATTTAATTTCTCTCGAATAATAAATAAAGAATAATAAATTGCTACGTACAATTTATTATCTTTGAATATTTATTATTCGAAGTGAAAGATAATAAAAATCCCGTCACACAACAGTCTCGAAAGAAATGTTTTGTTTTCAGATAGATTCAATTTCAGAATTTAAATACGAGAGCTAATATAACTGACAAAAGTGTGTTTCGAAGACGCGACAAGAGGAGAATATAATACGCTTGTCTTGGCTGATAACAAGCACATTGCGTAACTGATCATACTCAACGTCAATATCTCGACATATGTATATTGAACAATATATTTATTCAAGTTCAAAATCGCAAACATTTGCAAAAATATTCTCGGAAAATTAATCCACGTGTCTTATCAAATGAAAATCAGAAAAACTCAAATAAATAAATCTCTATACATTTTTCCATAAAACAGATAAAATATTAAATGAATTAATTTACTATCGAGAGGGAGAATTGATTTTTTTTTCTTGACTAATTTGAACACTTTTGAAAAACTATTTAGAGAATGATGATGATGATGAGGATGATATAAATTGAAAGACGTGGGCAAGCTGGCACGAGGTGCTCTTGTTAAAAACTAGATAAACATATTCCTTTTCAACCTCGACAAATAAATTTTTTTTTTTTTTTTTAATGAAATTTTAAGGGAATTTTTCCTAGCGAGATATTAAAAAATTCCCGTGATTGAATGTAAATCTCGATTATTATCGACGATGAGATTAAAGTTTAATACGATATAATATCGCAAACCCTGAGATGAATAAGAATTTATCCTTTAGGTGACAATATGTCGTTCTGAGAAAGCAAGCCAAATTCGTAATAAATGCAAGGACATTTACACGTAACACGTCTCGAATATATCGGAATCTCGATAACGTTTCATTATTGATTAGAGAGACGGATCCATTTAAAAAAATTAGATAACAATATTTTTTCATTTTTTGAATATATCACGGGAGAAATTCAGTTTTCCTTATTATTTTCCTGTATGATAATAATATATATCTTATTATTGTATATAAACCTTTTGTTTTACATTTTATTTCCAAATTCGATTCACTCGTCTAAAAAAATTAAAACTCGGCTTAATTTTTACATAATTCAATTTATATTCGACTAAAACAATTAAAACTCGACTAAAAACCTAAGAACAAAATTTACAATTTCAATAATTTCAATTGTAATAATTTCAACTTTAATAATTACAATTGTAATAATTTCAATTGCAATAATTTCAATAATTAAATTATAAAAATGGAAATTTGACCAAAAAAGCAATATTTACAATTACATAATGAAAAAATAGAGAAAATATTTTTTGAATGACAAAAATAGCATATCATTATTTTGATTTTTACCTTTTTACTGGGTTATACGATATATGAGATAACGAAATTATAAGACGCTGAATAATCAGTTTTAATGCCATTTTGCAATAGGTCTTGATTATCATATTAAGAAACAAAATTTTCTCATTACTGTACTTTGACTGCAGTTTAATTTTTTTTAACTTTTGAATTCAGAATTCATAGAAACATTTTCATAATAATTGTAATAATATTTATAAATAATAATATATAATAAATATTTACAATATTATATAAATTTATAATTGTAATATTAAATAATATTTGATTTTTTGGTAATAATAATATATAATTAAATTTAGAACGCGATTTTATGAAAATAGGAGACAAGAAATTTTTTTCTTTTTAAACAATCAAAAAATTAAAAATATAATGAACTAAAATCGAAAATAATTGTTAAATTCTAATATATTATTCCACTTGTGTATAACAGTGAATTCATCACTAATACTATTCAAAACAAAGTGAAAAATAAAAGTCCCCGAGATAGACGAACGGAAAAATAAACACCGATTCCTCTAAAACGACAAATAACAAATCCTAGAGAGAAATTAAAATTTCTATTTACTAATTCGAGTGCGACAAAACTGAATTCTTATTACTCTGAATTGCAAAATAAAATTCAGAAAAATTTCCCATCAAGAAATTTTTTTTTATTCTTTTCTCTTCTCTTTCTCTCTCTTCTCCTATTGCAAAATAATCAATGCAAATAAATAGAAAAAAATATCAAGTACGTATTATTGATTTTTTACTTCATTTCTTACGTTTTACTTTATCGAGAAAAAAAAGGAGAAAGAAGAAATAGTATATTTTAAAGGTCATTTGCTTAATCGATCAGTCAATGACCACACACTCGTATAATAGTCAAGATCGTCACTACATAACTTGAGAGAGTAGTTTACTATTATAATTTTCTGATGACTGAAGAAAATATTTCCATACGTCATAATACACACGTACGCTCAACATTTAGCAATATATTATCTCATCTATCTTTTCCCTCTCTCTCTCTCTCTCTCTTTTTCTCCTACAAGGTTCGCGAAAAACGCTATTCACAAAAGAGTTTGCGAGTGTATAAATACACCTTCATCCTCTAGAAACGTTGCTCCATTGAACTTTGGCGCTGTCTTTCGCTAAACTGGACTTAAGCCAGGATTACGCAAGTCGCGCCCCGATGACCTCCTTCTTCAAGTAAAGTTGACCTTGCAACTTGTTCTTGAGAAATGTACAAGCTCATCAGCTGATTAACCTTCTTGACAATTCAACCCTTTTTTTTGAAAATTACCACAATTTTCCTAAATTCGATTAAAGAAAAGAGAATATTATCTGCTTTATTATCTCCGTGAAAAGTTGTTCCTAGAAATCGAGAAAAAAATTTAATAACCAACTTTATTAGTAAATTTTTGAAATTGCTAAACTAGAAAATCGATATTTCTGATTTTATGACTTGAGTCGAAAAAATTGAATTTTATATTAAATTACAAAAAATCGAAAATTTTAAGATTTTTTCTAGTGGTTTTTTAATTTTAGTATTTGTTTAAAATCGTTATTACAGAACTATATTTTTTTAAATTAAAAGTTATTATAACACTGAAATAATAAACAAAATAGTAAATTTAAAAAATCAAATAATAAATATATATTTTTTAATTAAAAATTATTATAACACTGAAATAATAAACAAAATAGTAAAATATAAAAAATCAAATAATAAATAAAACAGATAAAATTACAACGTAAAATCAAAGATTTGAGGTTAAAATATATTTGAATCAACGTTGATTAATGAAAAAATTTCCTACAAAAAAAAAGAATTGAAAAATAAATAAATATACTAATAAAATATTCAAATAAGCAAAAAATCTATGTTTTCTTTAAATTTTTCCAATTTCCAGAATTAACTTTTGGCAGAGATCGCAGCAGGTGAATCACCTCAACAATGGAATTTTTAACATTTTTTTTTCTTAAATAATTTCTTATCGAAAAAAGATATATGACTAATACTTTGGCTATAGTAATTGATCAATATCAGGGCACTGCAATGCAATAAAGATTATTCCCGTTCAGATGGTTAAAAGAATCTCGGTCATCTGACGTCCCTGATAAAATAATGACGTTAGTGCTTTCAAGATTTTTCACAAAAATGACGACAATTTGCATTTTGCAAAGAGAAATAATAATTATTTATAATGTAAAAATACGCCAACAGATTATAAACAACCTAAACAACATTAAAAAAGTATTTTTTCAGAATAGAAATTTAGTCCCTAAAAAATAACCGTCAAAAAATACCTACCCTAATTTAAAAAAAATATAATAACACGATACAATTTAAACATTTTACATGTTTAAAATTTAATTTTTCGATTGTAAAATAAATAATAAATTCAAAAATTTAGAAAAATAATACATACAAATAAATAATAGAGGAAAAAATAAAAGTATACAATACTATAAAAGTGAGGTTATGTTCCTCGTACCGGCAACTGTCAGACTTCCACATATCAGAAATAATCAATAAACCATTTTCAATTGTTTACAAAACGTTTGGCGGAACGAAAATAAACTTTAAACAAGTGTCACAAGGACGAAATTTCAATTGAAAACTTAGATTGACAGAACACTGCGGAAAAATAACAACAATTGCCAAAAGCATGCGAACAATGACGTGATTTTCGTAAGCGGAACTTCCGCCAGTGGTGTAATTTCCGCGGGAAATTTGATAATTTACAAAAAAAAAAGAAAAAAAGAACAATGTAGATCGAACACTTTCCAAGAAAACAGTAGTAGACAAATGTAATAAAAACAATACCAATGTATTCAAATATTAAAAAATTTGCATCTTTTCTGTTATTAATCTCTCTCAAGGGCAAATGGGCGTCAAGCTTCCAATTGCATTCCTATTGGTCAATCAAGCCGGAAATGGATTAAACGCGCGAATAACATGCGTCACATTGTTAATTCAAAAACATTGTCAACTAAAAAGCACGTGAGAAAACTGTTTAGCGGAAGATTCCTTAATGAAAACGTGGTGAAGAGAAAGGTCACGAATTTGAGTGTCAGGAAGTTTTGGTAAAAGTGTCAGGGTCTCGAGGTTATTGCAAAGAGAGAGAGAGAGTGAGAATGAGAGAAAAAGATGTATAACTTGCGCAGAAGATAACACGTGACCTGCGCAGCTATTCTTAGCAGAGGTCGGTTCTGAGAGAGGAAGTCTGACTCGCTCACTCGTCGTCCGGCGCGCGTCCGATAAAGGAGTCAAGTTCCCTATCCTCTCGTTCCTTACACTCTTTAACTTTTTAAATATACATATATACATACACACAAGATGTCTGGACTTGGAGATCCCGTGGCGTTCGCCAAAGATTTTATTGCCGGAGGAGTTTCTGCAGCAATTTCAAAAACTGCTGTAGCACCAATTGAACGTGTGAAGCTTCTCCTTCAAGTGCAACACATTTCTAAGCAAATCGCTGAGGACCAACGCTACAAGGGTGAGTCATTAAAAAAAAATTAACCACGTTTTTACTCAATGGAGTAACTAGTCAACGAATTTTTTTTTGCAATTCCGGTGTAAGAAGGGCGGAAAAACTAAGTGAAAAAAAATGAACATTTTCCCTTCAAGTGAATGCCAAGAAAGCATGTGACATTCGTGAATTTGAAGCGTGTCAAGAGTTAAACTCGGGGAACGGTGAAATTACTTTTCAGCCGTTAATATTCCATGGTTCCCGTTATGTAATTATTATTCTCCTTCTAAAAAATCTACTCTGCAAAAAGAATCAAGAGTATTTCATTATTAAAATATGATTTTAAGCGTTACGTAATTTACTCCAAGAGCGAAATATATGTAAAAAAAAGTGATTTGATTTGATGAATTTTCTTTCGGGTGGGTCGATAAACGAGTATTCACGACAGCCAGATGGCAGCGCGTGGCTTTCCTGGTTCAGGAAAGGCAAGAAGAATCGATGACGATGCGCTCCAACATGGCGATTAATTTTGCCATGAGGGTGACCTCAACTTCTTTTCTTTTTGTCAATTAAAACATCCTTATACACACAACTTTCCAGAAAATAAACACATTTTTCAGTTAGAAAAATCCAAATAGATTTTATACCCAAATATTAAACCGAATCCTATATTTATCCATTTGACCTGATTTTGACCTTTTGTTATATGGCCTTTGTGCCAGGACAGCATTGATCGGGTTTCTGAGGTTAGAATTGACCTTGACTTCCCCTTTTTATAGTAAAATTGACAAAATTATTTTAAAAAAACGCCCTTTTTTAAAACAATAAATTTAGTATGTCTTTGATTTTGTTCTCCAAATTATTTAGTTCAGTATTCGATTTTTCGGTTACAACAATCGTTTATTTACAACAATTAATACACTCTAAATAATAATCTAAAATATTCAATTGTTCTGATTCATTAAGAAGATTAGATTGAATTGAATACGTGTCATTCTCGATAGTTTGGAGTTAAAACGTTCGAGATATAACCAGTTTTGATAATCACGTTTTTGCTTGAAAATTTAATTTCTTTTTAAAGTAAAAAAAAAACTTCTTGGGAAGTCCTGTTTTTCAAATTAGCATTAAATACTTTTAATGCTTTGACTTATCAAATGTATTACATAACACGGGTGTCGCATTATATAGATCTATTAACTTTCATATTAGATAACGAATCGAAAAAAAAACTGTTCTTGCTTTAAATGAAAAATTAATTGTAATTTAATGACAATGAATCTTATTTTGTAATTTAATTAATAAAGTTAAATCTTTCTTGGAATTCAAAATTTTCTTTTCTTTCTATCTTTTTCCTCTCCTTTTCTTTTTGAAAAACTTGTAAATTATTGATTGAAACAATTGGAAATTATTGATTGGTGACTTCTAGATTGTAATAACTAATAAAATAAAAAATTCCAAATTTTGATTAATCAAAAGTTACCGATTGGAAATTCAGAGAATTTTTTTTTCGTTCGTTGCCCAATGAGTTTTTTTTATCTATAATTGAAAAAAAATGAGACACTAACTTGATTTTCTTCTTGTTTGTTTGCAGGTATGGTCGATTGTTTCGTCCGTATTCCAAAAGAACAAGGATTCTTGAGTTTCTGGCGTGGTAATTTCGCCAACGTTATCCGGTACTTCCCCACGCAAGCTTTGAACTTTGCCTTCAAAGACAAGTACAAGCAAGTGTTCCTTGGAGGTGTTGACAAGAATACCCAATTCTTCCGTTACTTCCTTGGAAATCTCGCATCCGGTGGTGCTGCTGGAGCTACGTCTCTCTGTTTTGTCTACCCTCTTGATTTTGCAAGAACCAGGTAAATTTTTAATTCTGCACTATTTTCTAAAAAAAAAAAGGAATGATGTTAATTTTCCATTTGTTGACATTAGTGTTAAATATTTTTTTTAAACCGTTAAAAACTTTTTTTGAAACTTAAAATCACTTGAGTTAAGGCCAACGCAGAATAGATCTGTAACCGGAACCGCAATCGTAAGCGTAACCGTAAGAATAAATTAAAGAAGGATAGGTATATTGTTTATCCTTCTCCAACTCATTCTTATACGCTTACGGTTACGATTGCGATTCCGGTTACAGATCTATTCTGCGTTGGCCTTTAAGGCCAACGCAGAATAGATCTGTAACCGGAACCGCAATCGTAAGCGTAACCGTAAGAATAAGTTAAAGAAGGATAGGTATATTGTTTATTCTTCTCTAACTCATTCTTACGCTTACGGTTACGATTGCGGTTCCGGTTACAGATCTATTCTGCGTTGGCCTTTAAACTTTAACACATTGAATATAAAATTTCACATAGAGAGGCTGCTCGCTTTTGAGAAAAGACGGCGCTGAAGTCGTTTTTCACAACTATTGGCACCAACTTTTGAATTCTTTAATGCGAATTTAAGAATTATTGTATTTATTTAAATTCAAATTAGTAAAATAAAAATAAAATTAGTAAATTTAAATTCAACTTAGTATATCTAAATTAAAATTTGTTTTAGTTAATAATAAACAAACTAATTTATTATAAATTAGAAAATATATATTTTATAGAACAAATAAATTTTAGAAATTGTCTATAAATAATAAAGATTTGAAATAGTTTTTATAAAATTTCTTATTAATTTTTTTATTATAGTTATTATTAAAAAAAATAATTATTTTTTTTTTTAATTTTTTTCCATCATCTTCAAAAATCAAAAGAAATTTCTTTATAAATAATAAAGATATTAAAGAATAATAAAAATAAAGATTATAAAATATAATTTATAAAAATAAAGATTTTTATATTGTGTTGTATTAAAATTCAATAATTATAAGAAAAGAGAGGGCGAAATGTAAAGTTAATGAAATAATTTCAGATTGGCTGCAGACGTTGGAAAAGGAGCAGGAGGACGTGAGTTCTCAGGTTTAGGAAATTGTTTATCGAAGATTTTCAAAGCCGATGGACTAAACGGTCTCTACAAAGGATTCGGTGTATCGGTCCAGGGTATTATCATCTACAGAGCAGCTTACTTTGGTTTCTATGATACCGCTCGTGGTATGTTGCCTGACCCCAAGAAAACTCCATTCCTTGTCTCATGGGGTATTGCACAGGTAAGCAATTTCTCTCAATACTTTTCTCCTAACAATTATTTATCACAATTATTTCATATTCTTCTTTTCTTTATTTCTCTTTTTTTCTATTTCTCTTTCTTCATTTTTTATTTGCCTCTTGACATTTTTTGTGTCATCTTTAATATTTTTTGAATCATCTTTCTACATTTAATCTATATTTGTCAATATTTTTGTTTTATTTAAAAAATTTGCTTGAAATAATCAATTTTCTTGATTTCAGTGCGTTACCACCGTAGCTGGTATTGTCTCGTATCCCTTCGACACAGTCCGTAGGCGTATGATGATGCAATCTGGCAGAGCAAAGTCAGAAATTCTCTACAAGAGCACAGCTCATTGCTGGGCAACAATTGCGAAATCCGAGGGCACTGGTGCCTTCTTCAAGGGAGCCTTCTCCAACGTACTCCGTGGTACTGGCGGTGCCCTCGTACTTGTATTGTACGATGAAATCAAGAACCTTCTCTAAACAAAAGGCAATTAGGGTCCTTACCTCAATTTTCATTTACCATTCATTGAGAGAAAAAAAACTCATTTTCCATTTACCACTTAAATTTTATCCCTCCTCCCTTAATTTCCCCCCAATTAATTTGAACATTGAAAGACAAAGCAGTTCTCCTAACACCGAGTGTCCAATAAACACGAACTACTGTGTCAACAATTTCATAAATAAATTTTCTCTCTTTCTCTTTCGGGGTCTGAGAGCAAATAAAAAAATGGTAGCGGCTCACAAAACGCGTGAAACTCGGCAGAGAAATAAAAAAAACAAGTGGGAGTTCGACAATGCTCTGAGCTCCATAGACTAAATAATAAATTCGCTTTTATTTATTGCCGGATTCAGTATTTTTCTGAGCCTTACGAAAAACGCGCTTCTCACATTCTCTCTCTCCTGCCCTGCAACGCGTTTCGATATATATATTTGTGAAATTGAAAATAACACACGTCGTTTGAAAATAACAACAATAAACGCGTGCAGGACGTGTTCAAATGAGAATTTTGTGACATGCGACGTGTGTCGCTCGGGTCAGTGAAACTGATTATTTCAACTATAGATATTAAAATATATATATATTGATTTTAATTAAAAATGACAACAATCATTGAAAAGCAAATTTTATGTGAAAAACAAAAGAAATTTGTGAGCGAGAGGGACGCGCGGCGAAGATCATCAACGGCGATGGCGGGGCGCGTAGACCTGGGCCGCCCCCCGCCCTTATTCTCGGCCCATTGTAGATAATTAATAATTCGTAATTATTGATGAAACGATGATTGTAATAATAACAAGTCCACCGTGAATTAGGCGAGTGGTTATTTAATTTCACACTCTGGACAACTATCTTGTAAGATATAAAAGAAGAAAGAATGATTTAAAAAAAAAAGAATAAAGTAAAGTAAAGCGTAAGAGGTAACCTCTGAATTGTATGCATCTAAAATCTGTTCATGTTAAGGTGTATGCAGAGAAGGCGAGAGATCAATAAAGTCGAAGTAAAATTTAATTTCTATTTTCTTGTTACTTTCATTTTTTTTATGAACCTGAACACACTATTTAATAATATTACCGCGCATCTATTTATAATGACAATTTTACACAAGAGAATAAATTCTATTTGAAGGTTGAGGATCAAGGTTGACCACGTGTCTGTAGTATAAACGAATTGGCAAAGCTACGTTTATAAGCACGTGCTGCTAGCCAAGAATAATTTAACACACGTAATTTGTTGTTACAGTCGAGCTTTTTGCATAATATTCACTTAAGTGATAATTCTAAAAAAAAATTTAGTTGGCTTAAAATACTTTATTTTTAAAACTAAAAATAGTAAATTTTACTAATTAAATTAAAGAAATTTTTTAAATAAAAATTTAAAAAATCAATGTATTAATTTGAATTTTGGCAAAAAATATTTATTGTTTTATGCAAAATGTCATGTTTCTAAATTTATATTCCATAAATTAATTTAACAAAAAAATGTTGATAGATTTCGATTTCTAGTTAACTTCCAATTCAGTAAAAAACGAAATTCAATTTATTGAATTTTTAATCTATTCAATTTCTATTTCGATTTCTAATCAACCTGCAATTTAATAAAGAATAATAAAATTCAATTTATCGAATTTTCAACCTATTCAAATTTCTAACTAATAAAATTCTATTCGATGCCAAAATTTATGGCAAATTTAAAGTTATCCAACTTTATTTTTAATCTATTCAAATTTCTATTTATTTCGATTTCTAATCAACCTCCAATTAATTAAAGGACAAAATTCAATTTTTTGAATTTTTAATCTATTCACATTTCTATTTCGATTTCTAATCAATCTCCAATTTAATAAAGAATAATAAAATTCAATTTATCGAATTTTTAACCTATTCAAATTTCTAACTAATAAAATTCTATTCGATGCCAAAATTGATGGCAAATTTGAAGTTATCCAACTTTAAATAAATACTAATAAATTTTATTTTTAAAATATCATAATTTAAAACTTTAATTTTATGGATTATTAAATTTAATTAATGAATTTTACTAAATTTATTTTATTTTAAATTTAAATTATCGACATTTTTTTGTGTTGAAATTTCCATCTATCCAAATTTCAAACTATAGAAATTTTATTCGATGCCAAAATTTATGGCAAATTTGAAGTTATCCAACTTTAAATTAACGAAAATAAATTTTATTATTAAAATATACCAGAAATTAAAATAATTATAATTTTAATCGATTTTTAAATTTAATTAATAAATTTTAAATTATCAAAATTTTTAAAATACTTAATTTTAAATTAACAATTTTTAAAATTACTTTAATTTTATTTATATGCAAATTCAATTCATCAAATAACAAAATTTCAGTTTATGTAATAATTTATCGATTCCAATCTCCTTTTAGAATTTTAATGAATTTAATTTAAAAAATATTCAAAGAAATCAATTATTTATCCTGGGAAATTGAAATGTAGGACATCATAAGGATTATTCATAGGCAATTGAAAGTAAACAATGATTTTTTAAGAAAATGATAATTTATGAAATGAGGAATGATATCGTCGTTCATCATAAATCCACTGATTAAAAAATCCTGAACAATTTTTTTTTTAGAAATCCTGAAACGAAGAGATTTTTTCACATCACTGTTACACCTGTTACAACAATTTTCCTTAACTATTTAAAACTTTCTTAATTATAGAATCTAATATTCTGTGTGTAAAGTAATATTTTCCAGTAAATTTTAATCACCATAAGAAAAAGTTTTGAATAACATTATTTTGAAGTCTAACATTAAATTCAAACATTTAATTACAATTTTCTGTTGTCAATAAAAAATTGAAAAACTCCTATCTATTAAAGTACTTTTTCTAAATTAAATTCAGTTCGACAAAAAATGGAAATTGAAAATAAAGACAAAATAAAGAGAATTGAGAATAAATAATTATTCTTTCGATAAAAAAGAAATTATAGACAAATAATCTAAATTCTATGTCTTTTTCGTAAACGTTTTTTTTTATATAAATTTCTGCTTTAATTACATTTTGTAATAATTGGTATGCATTTTATTTATACAAACATTAAGTCTAACAGAATTTTTTTTCGACCTAGAGAAGAATAAAGAAAGGAATGATGTCTTTTTTAAGAGCAGTGATAATACGAAACCAAGATAGATAACTTAAAAAAAATTAAAAATAAAAATGGATGAAATGAAACGAAAAAGTGTATGTACAGCAATTGAGGAATGGCAATTAATTCATAATTACAAAAGGTCATACAGTTGTCCTATTTGAATCGCCTGCTAGAAAGACCATTATTCGATTGATCCCTGGCATGTTTAAAAACGTTCCTAAGATTGGCACTCTCCTTAAAAAGTTTACAGCCACTGGCAAAAATCCACTACAAATAATAGAAATTTGTAATAACGATATTTTTTCTCCCTAATACTACTTCTTTTTTAGCTTATCAAATTAGTTTCAATCAGAAAAATTAAAACAAATTGAAATAAGAATAGCCAATTTCTTCCCAAATAAGCGAAAAATCCAAGCAACAATTAAAATAGCAAACGAAAACTTAAGAAAACTGAATAAAGCTAAAAACAGCTAATAAAAATTTTTTCCTCTGAACAATTGATACAATGTGCAGATAAAATTACGCATAAATTAATAAATAATACCTGGAAGTAAATAAATAGAAATGCATTCCAAAAAAAGGAAAGATTAACACACTCAAAAAAATTATTAAGAGAAAATTCATTACCTGAATAGAACAATGAATCCATATGTTTCGACGATCATGCCCACTAAGGGCCATCCCATCAAGACAATAATTATGCCTCCTAAAAATGATGCACTTCCTTTTATTTTATGCCTCTGGAAAAAGAAGCTAAATGTCCTTCTAGGTCCAATTACACATCCTAGTCCACAAATAAACAGGAGCTGTTAAAACATTAAATTTTTTATAAAATACAATTAATTTATCAATTATACAAATAATTTATTTATACTATTACATCTTAATTCAATTGATAATTAATTTAATTAATTTTAGTTGACATATTTAATTGAAATAACTGCAATATTGGAATATTCAATAATGAAAGGCGAAAGGAAAGAAAAGTTAATAAAAATTTTCCTCCTATAAGAAAATCGTATTTACGTTAAAACATATTAATACCAAACGTCTCAAATAATTTTTATTAAATGTTTAAACAATTTCTCCCATGAAATAAAATACCTATGGAAAAAATTGTAAAACTGATGACATCGAAAGGTTTGATTAACAAAAAGAAATTTACTTACATTTCCAATTGCCAAAAGTCCTTTGTCAAATAATAGTAATACTCCTAGGAAGAGAAAAGCAATGCCAAATCCAGCAAGTCCGACTCCAATTTCTAAAATATAAATTTGTGTTTTATTTTATTATTAAAAGGAAAGAAGGAAAAAAAATCGAAATTTCAAACCACCGTCTTGTATACCACAGTACTTTTTAAAGTTATAACGAAAGTACTTTTTCAACATTGAAAAAAACTCACTTTGCGTATCCGATATCTCGAACATATTTAGAAAATTATTTCTCACAGTTCAATAGGAGTTTTTAATTAACACATAAAGTGAAAAATATTTATTTTCACTTGATTCTTTGACAGCACAAATGTTTCTCAAATATGATAAAAACCTAACCTATATCCACGTCATTCACTATGATGCGTCAAATTTGTAACTTATTTACCGGCATATTTACAATAAATACAAAATAATTATCAAGTAATTATTATCTACTATCACTAAATGATGGTCAAATTACTAACTTTACACACCTTATTATGATTACAACATTGTTTAAATTAAAAAAAAATAAAAAGAAAACGTTCATATAAAAACAAATGTGATCTGTGCGCCATTTGCAATGAATACTTGCGCAAACGCGTGAAAGTGATTGCCATTGGTTGAAAAAAGCGCGCGGTTATTTCAAATTTAATAAATTTAATTTAAATATAAACAAATATTTCTATTATTGCAATAATAGTAATAAAATAATGAATAAAGTAAAGAGTAATTTAATTTTTGGTTTAAATAAATAATTTATTAATTTAATTAATAATTTTTTATTAAAGATAAATATTATAGTTCAATTATTATTTTGATTATTATAATTTCTATAATAATTATTATTATTATCAAAAAACTTCAAAAGAATAATATTGAATTCCTTCCAAGAATTGTTTTATTTATAAAAAGAATTGAATTCTCGTGTTGAATTTTGTTATAAAATTTTTAAAAATCATAATTAAATTCTTTTGGAGAATTTCTTTGATTTTTTTTTAAATAATGGAGTTACTTTAATAATTTTAATTGAAAATTTTGTAAGCAATTGACTTTTATGAAGAAGAATTTTATTAAAATTGTATTGAAAATAATTAAATTCTTTTGAGGAATTCTTATTAAAATTGTTTTGAAAAGAATTGAATTTCTGCAAAGAATTTTACTATTTATAAAAATAATTGAAATGATCGAAGAGTTTATTAAAATTTTAGGAAAAATTGAATTGTTTTGAAGAATTTTATAGAAATATTTGAAAATAATTAAATTCTTTCAAGAAATTTAATTAAAGTGGTTTGGAAAATAATCATCAGAAGAATTTTATTATTTTTTGAAATTAATTGAATTCTTTCAATTTTTTGACGAATATATTTAAAAATTGCATTGAAAGTAATTTAATTTTCATATAGAATTTTTTTAAATGATTTAAGAATAATTGAATTATTTTTAGAGAATTTCAAATTTTTGTTGAAATTTAATTTTATGCAAATTTTTGAAAATAATTAAATTCTGTCGTGTAATTTTATTTAAATTAGATTAAAAATAATTTAATTCCTACAAAGAATTTTAGTAATTATAAAAATAGTTGAATTGTTTCGAAGAATTTATTAAAATTTTAGGAATTAATTGAATTTTATGGAAATATTTAAAAATATTTGAATTCTGCAGAGGAATTCAATTAAAATTGTTTTGAAAATAATTGAATTCCTTTAAAGAATTTTACTATTTATAAAAATAGTTGAATTCTTTCGTGAAATTTGATTAAAATTTTATATTATTAATATAATATAATTGATATAATATTAATAATATATTTTGAAATAAATAAATAAATTAATTACAAATTAGCCAAAGTATCCGCGCGCAAGCGCGCGGGAATGTTGTATGGGGCTGCTTATTTTAAACAATTTAAAAAATTTTAAAGAAATAATTATTATAACCTAACAAAGAGATTTAACTAACTAAAATTCAAATAATTTCACTCAATGGTCTCAATTTAAATAGAATTTACATTACTAGACTTAAACTATGGCTAGAACAATTACAATTAGTATCTAGGTCATCTTTTGCATTGCTTATTTTATAAAGCCATTTTAAATTAAATACTTTTTAAAGAAATAATAATAATAAAAAAAATTATTACACACTGAAAAAAGTTTTACTTGAAATAGCGATAAGTTTCTCTAGAATAACGAAAGTATTAATTGAAGCACTGAATAATTTCGCTACTAAAGTGAAATCTGTAGTTCATCCAGCTAAATATTTTTTGCCGTGCATAACGAAAAAAGAATTAAATTAACATCAGATTTTCTACATTCAAAAAAAACGAATTCAAATAGAAATTAATCATTTAACAACTTAACCAAATTCACCCTAGAAATCACTGAATTCGATAATTTAGAAGAAAGTCAGACAAAAGCAGGGTTCCTACAGAATCTGGAAATCATGGAAATCATGGAAATGGTATGGAATTTTTAAAAGGCTTCTGGAAATCAGGGAAATCATGGAAAAGGCCTGTAATTTTTAAAAAATTCTAAATTTTTTCAATTTTCCATTTTTTCTCTTGAATAAAAATTCAAATAATAATAAAGCTAAATGGTATAAAAGAGAAAAAAAATATTGAATTTTTTTAAGAAATTCAATTTTTCGGATTTTTGATAATTTTTAATAATTTTTTATTTTTTTCCAAAGAGTCGAGACAATTTAATAAGTAAAGTATTTTCCAAAAGCACAAAAATAATGAAGCTAAATCCCATAAAAGAGAATAAAATGTTGAATTTTAAGAAAATCGGATTTTTGAATTTTTTCGAATTTTTGATAATTTTAGATTTTTTACCAAAGAGTCGAGACAATTTAATAAGTAAAGTATTTTCCAAAAGCACAAAAATAATGAAGCTAAATCCCATAAAAGAGAGGAAAAAATGTTAAATTTAAGAAATTCTGATTTTTGAATTTTTGATAATTTTCGATAATTTTAGATTTTTTACCAAATAGTCGAGACTATTAAATAAGTAAAGTATTTTCCAAAAGCACAAAAATAATAAAGCTAAATCTCGTAAAAGAGAAGAAAAAATATTGAATTTTAAGAAAATCGGATTTTTGAATTTTTGATAATTTTCGATAATTTTAGATTTTTTACCAAAGAGTCGAGACAATTTAATAAGTAAAGTATTCTCCAAAAGCACAAAAATAATAAAGGTAAATCTCGTAAAAGAGAAGAAAAAATATTGAATTTTAAGAAAATCGGATTTTTGAAATTTTTTGAATTTTTGATAATTTTAGATTTTTTACCAAAGAGTCGAGACAATTTAATAAGTAAAGTATTTTCCAAAAGCACAAAAATAATGAAGCTAAATCCCATTAATTAGAGGGAAATATGTTGAATTTTAAGAAAAACGGATCTTTGAATTTTTGATAATTTTTGATAATTTTAGATTTTTTACCAAAAAGTCGAGACAATTTAATAAGTAAAGTATTTTCCAAAAGCACAAAAATAATGAAGCTAAATCCCATTAAGGAGAGGAAAAAATGTTGAATTTTAAGAAAAACGGATTTTTGAAGTTTTTCGAATTTTTGATAATTTTAGATTTTTTACCAAAGAGTCGAGACAATTTATTAAGTAAAGTATTTTCTAAAAGCACAAAAATAATGAAGCTAAATCCTATTAAGGAGAGGAAAAAATGTTGAATTTTAAGAAAAACGAATTTTTGAAATTTTTCGAATTTTTGATAATTTTAGATTTTTTACCAAAGAGTCGAGACATTTTAATAAGTAAAGTATTTTCCAAAAGCACAAAAATAATGAAGCTAAATCCCGTAAAAGAGAAGAAAAAATGTTGAATTTTACGAAAAACGGATTTTTGAAATTTTTTGAATTTTTGATAATTTTAGATTTTTTACCAAAGAGTCGAGACAATTTAATAAGTAAAGTATTTTCCAAAAGCACAAAAATAATGAAGCTAAATCCCATAAAAGAGAAGAAAAAATGTTGAATTTTAAGAAATTCGGATTTTTGAATTTTTGATAATTTTCGATAATTTTAGATTTATTACCAAAGAGTTGAGACAATTTAATAAGTAAAGTATTTTCCAAAAGCACAAAAATAATGAAGCTAAATCCAATGAAAGAGAAGAAAAAATGTTGAATTTTAGGAAAAACGGATTTTTGAAATTTTTCGAATTTTTGATAATTTTAGATTTTTTACCAAAGAGTCGAGACAATTTATTAAGTAAAGTATTTTCTAAAAGCACAAAAATAATGAAGCTAAATCCTATTAAGGAGAGGAAAAAATGTTGAATTTTAAGAAAAACGAATTTTTGAAATTTTTCGAATTTTTGATAATTTTAGATTTTTTACCAAAGAGTCGAGACAATTTAATAAGTAAAGTATTTTCCAAAAGCACAAAAATAATGAAGCTAAATCCCATAAAAGAGAAGAAAAAATGTTGAATTTTAAGAAATTCGGATTTTTGAATTTTTGATAATTTTCGATAATTTTAGATTTATTACCAAAGAGTTGAGACAATTTAATAAGTAAAGTATTTTCCAAAAGCACAAAAATAATGAAGCTAAATCCAATGAAAGAGAAGAAAAAATGTTGAATTTTAGGAAAAACGGATTTTTGAAATTTTTCGAATTTTTGATAATTTTAGATTTTTTACCAAAGAGTCGAGACAATTTATTAAGTAAAGTATTTTCTAAAAGCACAAAAATAATGAAGCTAAATCCTATTAAGGAGAGGAAAAAATGTTGAATTTTAAGAAAAACGAATTTTTGAAATTTTTCGAATTTTTGATAATTTTAGATTTTTTACCAAAGAGTCGAGACAATTTAATAAGTAAAGTATTTTCCAAAAGCACAAAAATAATAAAGCTAAAACCCATTAAGGAGAGGGAAAAACGTTGAATTTTAAGAAAAACGGATTTTTGAAATTTTTCGAATTTTTGATAATTTTAGATTTTTTACCAAAGAGTCGAGACAATTTAATAAGTAAAGTATTTTCCAAAAGCACAAAAATAATGAAGCTAAATCCCATAAAAGAGAAGAAAAAATGTTGAATTTTAAGAAAAACGGATTTTTGAAATTTTTTGAATTTTTGATAATTTTAGATTTTTTACCAAAGAGTCGAGACAATTTAATAAGTAAAGTATTTTCCAAAAGCACAAAAATAATGAAACTAAATCCCATTAAGGAGAGGGAAAAATGTTGAATTTTAAGAAAAACGGATTTTTGAAATTTTTCGAATTTTTGATAATTTTAGATTTTTTACCAAAGATTCGAGACAATTTAATAAGTAAAGTATTTTCCAAAAGCACAAAAATATTGAAGCTAAATCCCATAAAAGAGAGGAAAAAATGTTGAATTTTAAGAAATTCGGATTTTTGAAGTTTTGATAATTTTCGATAATTTTAGATTTTTTACTAAAGAGTCGAACTATTAAATAAGTAAAGTATTTTCCAAAAGCACAAAAATAATGAAGCTAAATCCCATAAAAGAGAGGAAAGAATGTTAAATTTTAAGAAATTCGGATCTTTGAATTTTTGATAATTTTCGATAATTTTAGATTTTTTACCAAAGAGTCGAGACAATTTAATAAGTAAAGTATTTTCCACATTAAAAAGTTTGATATTAAAAAATATATAAAAAATGCTAATACTTAACCCACAAAATTAAATTTTCAAAACAAACAAATGAATGCAGATAATTTGCTAACGGAAAGGAAACTTACGATTATTATAATGTATATTAGTGTATGTACATTAAATTAAATCATGACTTTAATAATAATATAACAATTAGCAATCATTTGATGCCAATTTCACTCTTGTTTATTTTATTTTTAGTATCTGACTTTTTTAGCTATTTTTTTACGATTTAGTAATTAAATGTTAATTTTTTTTTTTTGAAAAATATCATAAATTAAATTTTTTGACTAAAAAATAACAATAATTATTTAATTTTCTCAAAAAATAAACAATTCTCCCGGTAAAATGTACAACGGAAAAGTTTTAATAGGCAATTGGAATGAGGATCGAGAACTTGAAAAGGTTTCGTTATTTATTTATATGTAATATGGAAAATTGTCAAATATATTTGTTATTAAAACTCTAAAGAAGGCAATTTATATAAATATAAATAAAATTGGAAAATAAAATAATTGTAAAAAATAAAATATCCACTAGGTGAAGATAGCAGACTATGTGAAGAAACGAGATAACAATGAATTAGTTATACAAAAAATACGAACATTATTTCACAACATGTGTCGAGAAATTGATCTTTACAAAACTGAAAATTACATTGAATTTGGAAATCGAATTCAAATTTATGCGCCCGATGTGCGGAATATTGGAGAAAATAATGGGGAAACTGAAAAATTTGGTGTTATTATTTCCGTAACAATTCCACGAAATGCAATTGGAAAAATTGAAAGATTCACAGATCAAATGCCTATTGTTTGTGCAGCTATAAGTGAACCGTGTACTCGAAATACATTTACGATACTTGCATCCGATTGGAATAAACGAGACGGGGAGAAACTTTTATTTGGCCAAACTTTCATTTTGAAGGCAAGCGAATAAAGTGGAATATAAATATATTATTCAATTAACAAAATTGAATAATTAATTAATTTAATTATTCAATTAATTATTTAACTAATTATTCAATTAACAGGACTCGAAATCGATTATTTGAATCAAATACATTTTTTTGTTTAGTGTAATAACATTTTTAAGAATAATTACATTTCTCGAGGAATTCGATAAAAATCGTATTAAAAATAATTGAATCCCTAAGAAGAATTTTATTATTTACGAAAATAATTGAATCCCTGTAAAAATTATATTATTTATGAAAATAATTGATTGATTGCGAAGAAATTTGTAAATAGTTGGGATTCCTGTAAAATATTTACGAACTTTTGGTCTTTCCTTAATCAAATTATACGGACATTACGGACCTGAATTAATTAATCAATTAATCAGTCGACTAATTACAATTGCGTCAACAGTTAACAGATTCTACCGAAGAAGATTTATACCTCAGATCAGTAACACCTTTGATTGACGATACTCGTGGTCCTGGAGAACATAATCGAGTGTTATTAAGTAACATTAAAGACTGTTATTGTCTCTGGAAAGTTCTTTTGTGTAACAAAAGTCAAAGATTTGAATCCGAGGGAACTCCTGTTCCAGTTTCTGATCGGTAATTGTTTTACTATTTTTTTTTTCAGCGAAAAATTGTCTTTTCCTCAATCAAACCTTACCTAACAATTATCATTTCGAAATTATTAAAAAATTATCAATTTAGAAAATAATGATTCTCCTAACTTGTAAGGTTTCAAATTAAATAGATTGACTATAAAATAGGCGCTAATAGAAATATATAAATATTAAAATAGAATTGTTATTACTCACGTGATGACTGGAGAGTGTTTAGCAGTTGAAAGATTAAATTGGCAATCGAGCATTTTTGGTGTTGAATGTGGAATATCCGTTCACACTTATAGGGATGTAAATAAACGAGAAACCTCCGAATGTCACTGGATGTTTGTAACAGAAAAACTACCACGCGGAACTGCCGAAAAAGAATGTAAATAAAACTCTGTCTAAGCACCTGGACGATATTTCCTGTAAAAGGATTTTATAATGATATTCAAGTAAAATTGTCAAAAATTAATAAATTAATTATATACTTTACTCTAAACTGTCTAAATTGTTTTTAACCGTTTTAACCACAGCGCAGCGGTAACAGATGTTTGCCTGCCTTTTAAAACTCGACTTTAATTTCGATAATTTTCGATATATTTTTACCTCCGATAAAGGCTTTATAGAAATAAATACACAATCGAGTTAGTGATATTAACTTTATATTAAAAAAAAATGTTTAATAAATATAATTTTATTATTATGGTTATTATGACATTTCTCGTCTCTGTTGAATGAAGTTGGTGCCATAAGAATAAAGGTTAGGAATCGATTATTTGAAAATGTTTTACAAAATATTATTTTAGTGTATTATTTCTAATAAATTATTATTATTTTACATATTTATTAATATTATTTAACAGTTTAATATATTTTATTAACTATTTACTTAATTTATTTATTTTTTAATTTAAATAATTTAAATTTCGATAGTCAATTTTCGATATAACTAGATTCAATAATCGAAAGGAGCGCGCTGTAGAGGCGTGGGGAATGCCACTCGCTCATTGGTCGACGCGTCAGCCAATAGGAGCGCGCCACATCTCACATGCGTAAGTGCTATGCGCGGAGCTCATTTGGCGGCCGGCAGCCATCGGTGACGGTGGTGTTAGCCAGTTCCCCCGGGTCGAGACCCTCGGGTCTCCTCGGGTGGAGGAGCTGCCAGGGGCCCCTCCCTGAGGAGGAGGGTGACCCCAGGTGGGGGGGGAACCGGGGTGGCCTAGTTGGCAAACTGGCCACCACTGGCTGGGGTCCAGGGCGAGGACCTCTTCAAGGGGTTCGCCCCTTGAAGAGGTCCTCACCCTGGACCCCAGCCAGTGGTCGCCAGGTTGCCAATGTAAAGCCTACTCTACAATGGGGTTTTCACCTCATTGTCGAGTAGTCTTTACATTGGCAACCTGAACATCATCATCCTGGACTCCAGAAGATGATGTCTAGGTTGCTAATGTAAAGACTACTCGAGAATGGAGTTTTTACCTCATTTTGGAGTCTGCTTTACATTGGCAACCTGAACATCGTCATCCTGGACTCCAAAAGATGATGTCTAGGTTGCCAATGTAAAGACTACTCCACAATGGGGTTTTTACCGCATTTTGGAGTCTGCTTTACATTGGCAACCTAGACATCATCACCCTGGACTCCAGATGATGATGTCTAGGTTGCCAATGTAAAGCTGACTCCAAAATGATGTTTCTTCCTCATTCCAGATTCAGCATACCGGTGATTCCGCAATAGGGAATTTGAGGTTAGGTCGCTATTGTGGACACTTCTTGAGGCTGGACGATGACCAAGGGATGAGGCCGATGAAGAGGGCAAAAAAAAGAAGGAAGATTCAAAAGGATCTTGAGCTGGTCCAGAGGATGCTGCGCTGTCAACATTGTAAATATGGAATTTCTAATTGGTAAGTAAATATTTATTTATTCTTTTTAAAAAAGCAATTGTTTTTGTTTTGTTTAATTTTTGACAGTTTTAAAATAAATTTCTAATTATTAATGTTATTAAAAATATTAAATTCTTAATTATTAATAAATTATTAGGTATTATACATTTCTTTTTGATAATTTAGTTTTTTGAGTTTTTTTATTTATAAATAATAATTTTCGAATTTCTTTTTCTATTTTTTCAGGCCGTTTCTAGAAATCTGAAAAGTAAGGAGGAGGGCAAATGAATTTGGCTCCTTCCTCATCCCCTCCAGTCACCGGCTGAATTAAAACTCATCTTGAGCTGGTTCGAAGCTGCTGTCAACATTCAGAGGAAGGATATTTTATTCGGTGAGTAATATAATAAAAATTAGTTTTATTTTTTTTACATGTTGAGGATTTTTTATTTTTATATTGTTTCTTATTTCTTACTTATAATATTTATTATTAATTAATATTTAATTTAATATAAAAAAAATTATTTTTAATTTTCATAATTTATTATTGAAATAAATTAAATTTTTTTAAACTGTTAATATTGTTAATTTTTTTACATTTTCATGAATAAATTTTTAATTATTATTTATACTAATGATTTTCTTCAATTGAAATTTTTATTATTCATTTCAGCTAATTATTATTGATTTATAGTTATTTGTAAAATTTAATATTTTTTTGTTACTCTTTTATTGATTTTTATTTTTTGTAATATTTGTTATTAATAATTATTTAATTTTACTGAATTCGAATTAAATTTTACATAAAATATATTAATTTTTTATTAATTTGTTAATAATTTTTATTTTTTTTGACAATTTCTTAAATAAATTTCTAATTTTTAACTATTATTATTATTGCTATCATATTTTGTATTGTTTTATACACTGAAAAAAAATTTATATGATTCAAATAACCGATTAATTGACTATTATCAATTAAATATTTACTTGAATCAAATAATATTTATTGGAGTCAATTAAATAGTATCTATTTAAATCAATATTTGAAACAATTACCATTTAACTGACTCCAATAAATATTATTTAACTGAATTAAATATTTAATTGATAATAGTCAATTAATCGGTTATTTGAACGAAATCAATTTTTTTTCAGTGTACAGTTTAAATAATTCTTAAATATTAATTTTTTAATATGTCTACAGGCAGTGTCAAAATCATGTTAAGGTTGGACAAAAAATGGATACAGAAGAGAACTTATTCCTAAATCGGCAGCAATAGAAATGGATCTTCGAAATTTTTAAGGACAAAGGTGAATACCGGGAAACAATACTGAGAATACTGCACCAGATAAGGTCATATTGGACAACAAGGATCACGCAGTGGATGTGATCTTCGTGAACTGTGGTTATCGCTCTGAGAACAACTATTGGTGAGTAATTTTTATTAATTTATTATTTCACTTTTCCCACATTTACGTCACACTTTATTCCCACCTTTTACCCCCTCCCCTCTGATACTTTGAATATTTATAAATAAAAATTTATAGACAAATAAATGAAGCTTAGGGAGAAATAGAAATTGATTCATTTTTCGTAGAAAGTTTTGAAATAATTAAATTCTATACGCGTCATTCCATTAATATTTTCTTAATAAAGTTAAATATAATTCTATAATTTTTCATGTTAATAAATTTGTCTAAAAATTTTGTTTTATTTTTATAAATATATATAAAATTCTTTTTATTTCCTTTTTCCCACCTAGTTTTATTTTTTTATTTTATTGCATAGTTATTTTTCATAAATTCAATATAGAGACCTAAATCCCCGTCCGGTACCCCCTCAAACTAGAAGTGTGACCTGGGATTGTGAATGACTCTTTTCTTGCATAATTTATTTAACCGTATATTACGCAGACTTCGCACTCATCTACTAAAACATACTATTTAAATCCTTTTTAACGATTAAGTACTATTTGAATACTTTTTTGAATTTGTGACACTAACAGCTAGTTTTCTTCCTTTTTTTGAAAATGTGCACTACTTTAAATCCGCTAATAGTTAAAATAAAAAATTTGTTTTTTAAAATTTTAATAAAATTCTTTTGAGAAACAATTCAAAAATTTTTTTTATAAAATTCTTTGAAACAATTCCATTTGTATTTTTAAAAATTTTTGGCAAATTTTTTCCAAGAATTTAATTATTTTAACAAACAATTAAATTCTTCGCTGATATTAAAATATTTTCTAAATCTAAAATTTCAATAAAAATACTCAAAAGAATGCATTTTTTTTAATTTAATAAAAGTCTTCTCAAAAAATTCAATTAGAATAATAAAATTTTCACAGAAATTTAATTATTTGAAATACAATTTTCAAGAAAATGTTTTGAAAGAAATCAATTATTTCAATAAAATAGTTTAAAAGGAATTAATTATATTCTAAAATTTTGATAACATTTGTTTAAAATTCCTTTGTAAAAATTAAAAATTATTTATGTATATTTATTGAACAAAAATTATTATAATTATATAGATAATTTAATTTAGAAATTATGAAAAAAGTAGTCTTTTGAAAAATTTCAGTAAAAATGTTTTGAATATTCAAATTCTCGTAAAATATAAAAATATTTATTTAAATTTCCAATTAATTGGAAATTTACAAATTAATTACTTTGCAATTTTAAATTAAATAAAATTTATTATTTAAAAAATTTTATTATTTTACTTAAAATGTAAATTAATTTTGCAAGAATTTAGAATTGAAATTATTTAGCGGGATAAGAAAAAAGTGAATATTTTTTATGGAAATGAGTAGAAATACAGAAACAAACTTTTGTGAATTTTGTAAATTGACTAAAACTAGTTTTTTAGACGTAAAATTTAATTTTTTGATAGCTACTTTTTTACAGGGGAATGTCAGGAAAAAATTTTTGGTCTGGGAAATTAAGAAAATTGAGACATTTTTCGACTTTTCTTCCAAACATTACAACAAAATACAAGAATTTTTAGTAAAAAAGTGCATCTTATTTTGATTTTTATAATGTGAGAAATAACTCAAAAGAAATCTTTTAAAAATTGTTTTTGAATCATTTTTTAACGTAATTAAATTTTTCAAATAATAAAAATCTTTTTGAATAGTTGAAATTTTGAAATATTTAATTAAAAATAATTAATTTATTTTTTTAAAAATCAATTTTTGAAGAATTTTAATTGAAAGTTTTGAAAATAATTGAAATATAAAAATTTTATTGAAAAATCTTTACATGTAAATTTAAAATTGAAAATTAATGAAAATTAGTTTCTAATTTTTTAAAATTCAATATTTTCAATTACATATTTCCAAAAATTCAAATACACTCAAAAATAATAACATTTTAGTATTATTTTTAACATTTTGGAGAAAACAATCATGATCAAAATTTTTAATTAAAATTCATCAAAAAATTAATTATTTTTTTTAAATTATACAAAAATTATTTTAAGAAATTCAATTATTTTCGAAAAATTACATAAAAATATTTTTAAAAACTAATTAGGGGTCATTCA